TGCGAAGACAATGGCTTGAATCATTACAGAAGTCCGGCACTCTTCCGAATACCGGTCCCAAAACTGCCCTTGCGGGGGTCCAGGGCCAAATATTTTAGAGGAAAGAAAAAATAGATTCACTGCCACATAAAAGTTGTAAAAGGCGACTAATTAGGACTGCTGAAATCGAATGCTTTGGGGCAAAGGGCGCAGATATCGCAGCCTAGCTGTAAACCACAACACAACGTGAGAACCATCCCCAACGTCTGATCTCTAATAGTACCAGTTCTGTGTTGATTAACAAGTCTTCTGGCGTGTCTGGTGTGCGTCTCGTTTTTTGCTGTGCCGATCTTAATTCCCAAGTCTGCCGTTCTGGCGAGTGATGTGGATTCACTACCCCCAAAGTATTCCACTATTCCCATTTCTCTGAGGGCATTGATAATATCAGCATGATCCATAGGCTGACCGTCGGTAGTGATAGCGAATCCAGCCAACCTGTCAGCTCTTTTATTTCCATCGACGCCTGCGTGTCCCGGAACAAAAATAAAGGTGACTCCACGCACAGTGGACTTCTGGGACCGGTATTCGGAAGAGTGCCGGGGATTGTACTGAGGGGAGGATCTGAGCACCTATGGACATACTCCCGAGTGCAATGATGATAACCCAACTAACTAACTAACTAACTAACTAACTAACTAACCAACCAAAGGAGAGATGTGTAATCTCTAAATTGTTACTTTAACTGGGATGCAGGGTCTAGCAGTCAGAAAAGGTAAATAAGTTCAAGGTTAGAGGCCCACTTCCGGTCCGTCAGCAGAAGTGTCCACAGCCATAGTAGAGAAGTGTCATGGGGGATTTTGATGGTTTTAGAAATTGATTTATAGATCTCAGACATGAGTATCTGACTGATATAATAGTTGCTAGGAATTCGCAACCCTTTCTGAATGAGAATGTGTTATTGGTGAGTCAAAGTTTGTTTTTGTGAGGCATTAATAAGCATCTTTTTCTAAATCTCTGGCTTGCTTGCTAAACTGCTTGTCACTTGTTGTCTTGTACCCCACCAGTACATACATCACAAAAGCGATAAACACCCGGTGCTACCATGTGGATGAGGATCACCCGTGGAGAGGTCACAGAAACCCCTTTTAGCCGTTGTGGCCCAGCTATATTCAGGGCTCCCTGCAAAAGCCGAGGTGGGGCTTCAAATAACGAAAAATTGCATCCAACAAGGGGAAAAAGAATGTGGGGGGTTTGTTAAATTGACTTGGGGTCATAGATCTCAGCCTAAAATCTACTTTACAGATCTTGCTTTATTGTATGCTGACTGGTGGTTACTTGTCTCTCAGGCAGATGCACAAAACAGAAAAGCTGGAAAAATAAAGACAGCAGCTCTAAACCTTGAGAAAGCTGGCAAGAAATGCTGCAAATTAGCTAAATCACTCAGTGAAGAGTTTCTCTCCTAGTCACCATGAGTGAAGGTGACAAAATCATCAGAGGAAAACAAGCTGCAGATTTGTTTGCCAGAACATATAGTGTTGAAAGCAACCTGACCTTTAATAAGGACCACCATAGAGTAATAAGAGACAAACAGACACTTCTGCCTCTATGATGAAGCCCATCACCATGGCTGACTTCAGAATGCCATTTTTTTGTTTTGGCTTGCCTGCTTGTTGTCTTGTACCCTACCAGGACATCACACAAGCGATAAACACCCGGTGACACAAAGTGCCACCATGTGGATGAGGGTCACCCGTAGAGAGGTCCAAGAAACCGCGTTCAGCCATATTTATGGCCAAGCTATATTGCAGCCTCTGGTAAGAGCCAGGGTAGGGCTTCAAAAAAACGAAAAATTGCATCCCACAAGGGGATGACTAAGGATAGTACGATGAAAAAAAGAAAATATATGTGTCTGTCTGTCACAAGAATTTTCCGTGGTGAAAAATGGTGATGGGAAATTTGCACATGTCCTTGTGACTGCCATTTCTAGGTCAGTTGTGCTTTTCTTTCAACACATTTTCTACATTCTACTGCAAACTAGTGCTACAATCACTAGCCATTGACCGGAGTTATTTTCCTTCAGTATCTACATATTTTTACCCTCCTTTAAAAATGCGTTTGAAAAATAAAAAACAATATATTGCTGTTATCTCCCTTCAAAATTAACATCTGGACAGTAACTTCCCGTTTCTTTTAGCACTGATAGCTTTGATTTCGTAGTAGCTAGCCAGTGTTTCTCAAAGTGGACATTGTGATCCCCTTGGCGTGCTAGATGGTCCCGGGTGAATTTGGGCAATTAAAGCTAGATAGGGTATAAACCTGAATTCTTGTTTTAGCAAAAATACAAACGATGATAAATAATGGATAACTTTTCAAGCTTGGAGTCATTACTAAGTTTATGGTGCTATTCCATATTTTTGTCATCGGGTGTTTATCGCTCGTGGTATGTCCTGGTGGGGTAAAAGAACTACTACTACTACTACATTTTCTATTTTCAATATAGTTAAAAAGAAACAAATTTCCAGCTTTAATGGTTCCCAGATTGACCATCTTTTAAAATACCCACCAGAATATCTGATAGGAAAATATATGAAGGAAAGAAATCACATCATGACTTGGGGGTAGGGGGATGGTTGTGTCACATGCATGAGAGAGATAGAGAGGAATCCTTTTTTCATGCCTTTTTAGCACATCGATCAAATTGTGCTAGATTTATATTTATGTACTAGCTGTACCCGGCCACGCGTTGCTGTGGCGTAATTTGACTACATGGAAAATAGAGAACATAGAAATGTGTCTTCGCTTCACGCTAGCGATGTACAGAGCAACAGCTAAACCACAGCTAATAAAACTGGTTACAAAAGTGGTTATTTGGTTATCACATGCTAAAGCTGTTTGTATTTTTATAGGAGACGGAAGTAAAGCTACAACTGTACTTGTTAATAACAAAGTAAGTCGTAAAAATTAGAAAAGCAGAGGTAGCGTTAGTAAAATATAAACAAATTAGGTAATGAGAACTTGAAAATCACGTGTAAAGCTCTTTAAGTTCTCTTAAATTTAAGTCATAACCCTCCCCTCTTCCACCGACTACTGCTCTCTCCCTCTTCGAAGGATTTGAAAATCACTAACTGGCGATATTTTGTTGTTGCTGTAACTGACATTGACATCCCTGTCCATCTGGACTAAAATAAGGAGCAGGAATTGTAAAAGGTAGTGAATAGGGCTAGTGAAATATTTACCACATCATCCTTCAAGTACCAGTACAACTACTAAAATAATGTCACTGCTATCTGTGTTACCATCGTAGTAGACAGAGAGTCGTGAGCCAGAAGATTTGGTTCCGCATGGCTAGTGCTGTCGCCACAGACTGGTCAGGTTAGGATGTATAATTTCACTTGCCGACAGAAGAACGCCATAACCTTACCGGCGGTCTTCACATGAGAGGACTATGGTGTAACAGCCCAACCACAACTATTACTGCTGCTGCTACTTTAAGTGGGTAAAGCAGTTACTGTGACTTAAAGCTCTCTCAGTTAATAGTTGGCCCCCCCCCCCCCCCCCCCTTCCCCCCAAATTCACCGACAACTCTTTCCCACACTGAAGTAGTTGGGAGGAAAAAAAAACACTTGAAAAGCAAATGAACACAGGAAAAAAACACCATAATTAGGAAATGAACGCCTTTGTAAACAGCACAGCTTAAAATTCCAACACAGATGAAATAACTAAATCTAAATGAAAATAAATGAAAATCTATAAAATTTCAGCGTAACCATGCAATCGGAAAGTTTAACAATGCAATCATAAGTATGCGAAATGGTCAAATTTAATTATCAAATGGTTTACCCATTTACTGGATTTTTTTTTGTTTTTTTTTTTTGTTTTGTAATATTAAGGCAACATGGCTAGTGCTGGCACCACGACAGAGCAGATGAGGATATTATTTTAGTCCGGGGTAAAAAAAAAAAATTAACTACTGCGGATTCGAACCTAGGTCTACCGCACTTGAACCCAGTGTTCTAACCATTCGACCAAGCAGCCACTTAATCGGAACAACGAAAAGAGAACACAACTATTAGACATATGTGTCGCGATTAAAACAATTCAAAACCGCAGGCAATTGTTTTCTCGTAGACAGATACTCCAGATATATTATTGAAATAGAAATCGCACGTGTCTAACACGGTTAATGAAGTTAATGTCGCAGTCACTGTCTCCCCCGACGTCGAGATAGTCCTCAATTGCCCCCCCCCCCCCCCCCCAATCGAAGGTTGTTTGAAAAAAAAAAAACAGAAAATAGAAATCGTGTTTAATATGGTTATTGTGGCAAATATAGAGATAGTCTTGTTTGCTGTACCACGACCTACTCTATGTATTAGTATTAGAGAAGGTGTTGGCTGCACGTAACTCGCCGGCGAATGGTAAATACGGCGCATGCGCAATTACTAACGTAGCTATAATTAGAAATCACTAAAGTTATAAATATTAGTTGCGTATATTTTAGCATTAATTGTGGTCACCTATCTCTAACAGTGACAGGTTGAATTTCAAACCACGACGGTTCAAAATCCGGTATCACAACAAACATATCCTGAAAATTTCAGCTAAATCGGTTCAGTAGTTTCCGAGTCTATAGGGGTGAAACAAACACACAAACATTGATTTTTATATATATAGATACCAGTTGGCACTCAATAGGTGATGTGGTTACCATCATGCAAGCCAACTTTACTTCCCAGGATATTATCTGGTAGCAATTTTAGGCAGGTTCCACCTGGGAGCTAAAGTCAATGTGATAAAAATTCTCCTTGTCGGCATTTGAACTTTGACCTTCAGATCGCACGCAGGCATGTAGCTACAATGCTGTTATGGCTCCCTGTGTGTGTGTGTGTGTGTGTTCATTATTTCCTGTAGTTTGTTGCTTAACTACAAGCATAATTTGTTTCCATTTTTTTCATCAGGGATGTATTCATGTAATTGGCTCCCTTGGTGCACAGACTGCTGTGGATACTCACTGGCGAAGCAAAATGACCGTCAGTCGATTAGACCAGCTCTACCGCAGGCTTCTTTTGACAAAATTTTTCACAAGAGGATGGGGGAAACCCGACAATTTGAAAAGGTATCTTTATTTCCATTTTGAAATATTTGTTCTAGAGATTAATACATCTGTGGATGCCAGAGGTGCTGGACTAGTTTCCATCCAGGATATAACGGGATCAAAGACTACATGTCCCTCCCATTCCCAAATAAGACCACATCTTATTATAATTTTTTTCTTCAAAATATGCACTGGTGCATATTTTTGGGGATGTCTTTTATTTTGCAGGTACACAATATTCAACATTTGTTCATATATAGTCATGTTATCTTCTTCTGGAACATCGTCATAACTTCAGATCCTGAATTCCAGTACATTAATTATCATGTGCACAACAGCGGCACCTGCACTCCGACTGGCTGTTTGGCAACGAATCTCTCATTCTAGTTAATGATCTTAACTAGAGCTTATTTGTGGTGTAGGGCTTAAATTAAAAGCATCATTACCCCGTGTGAGTTCCTAGGTCCGTTGTTGGGGAAACCAAGAATAGACCTATTGACTCCCCAACAAGCATGTCATAGGAGACAACTAATTTGGAGCTTCCTTCGAAAGTGGAAAAGATCTGCCTGAACAGCAAGGAACAGCCAGCTGCACACAAATAAAATAAGCCAGTAAAACAGGTGTATGCACAAAACATAGTCCTTGGTACAAAGCCAAAGTCAGAATGGATGGACAACCAGGACTTTCCGCCAGAGTTTACAGCTGGTGAGCAAAGAAGAAGAAATATAGCATCCGGTGGGCCGTATTTTCGGGGTTACATTGTAGACTGTGTGCCCTATATGAAGTAAAAATGCACAAGGGCTGATTAAGTCTATGATAAATAATGCTGTGCTTGGTAAAGAATGATGTATCATCCAATCTGTGATTTCTTCTTTGACAGGTTGTTTGCATTCAGAAAGATCTTGTCAAATAGAGACACTTGCCAGCACTTGGTTGCATCAGATTACCCAATCAACATTGACAGTGTAAGTTTGATCTCCTCTTGGTCCTCATCCTCTTCCTCTGTGTCCTTTTCTTCTTCTTATTTTTTCTGTCTTTATTCTCTATTAACCCATTTGCACCAGTGGAAAAAAAAATTCTTTAAAAGAAAATCCCATTTTACACAGGTCACACACAGAATCATAACAGTTTTATTTTTGTATTTTTGGACCAAACATTAAAAATAGTGTAAGTAAGTAATATACATGAATGAGACAGAGAATTGACTGAGTTATATCTCTCTGAGCTCAATAAAAAAAAGTTCAGCATGTTTATGATGATCCACTCTTGACCGCTGTAACTAATTGGATGTACTTGTATCTTAATTTCTGTGAATAGAACGCCCACCTCCCTCCTCCCCCCCCCCCCCCCCCCCCATCCCCACTTTGCCTCCACCTAAAAGCTTTTTTTTTAATTTTTAGCAACTACAAAATTCTTGACATTCTGAAAAGTTGCCCCGGAAAAATTGGAAGCTATGCTTTTAGCACAGCTCTGTGTAAACAAGTCTGCGTAGCAGGCCAAGAAATGGGCATTTATGTCGGGATGGCACAGACTGGTGGCCACAGATTTTGTACTTCCTGGCCTGAGAATGTTAATCCTCATCCTTCTATTCTTTTTCTTCTTCTGTAAGAAAAGCCTGTTTTTTTCTTCTTCATTTTTTGATTTGTTTTGTTCACTCTTCCCAGGAGACTTAATCATTGTGCATTTACTTTCCCTTAGGAAACTCGGGATGGCGATTGTATTATCCTAGAAGGACACTTTACTTCTCCCTTCATTCACCATCTGCCAGGCATCATGCCCAAAGAGGTGGAGACAGCAAGGTATGTCAGTTTCCGCTTATATATCTCTTGTTTGTGTGTAACAATTTATGTTTTGTTGAGGATCTCTTTACAATTTACTGTTGAGCTCAGCACTAACATCACAGACATTCACATAAGTGCTCCTTCATCATCTTTAGCAGCCAGCGAACAATTCTGATGGTGCCAGTAGCAGTTTGATTATGTGTCAGTCTTGCCTCTCCTCCGAATGTAGAGTGTTGACCAGATCTCCTGGTCACTCCTAGCTGTACCTTTCTCTTCAGACCATAATGATCTATCCCTTGACCACATCAAGCTTGTCATGCATCAGTTCACTACCCTTGGTGCAGAACCACCCAGTCTGTCTGTCTGTTAATTTCCTCAGACACCTATATCCCCGGAGAAAAATCCACAAAAAAAAACGTTATTCACCTATGACTCCGTCTGCCTCTCAGAGCAGAGACATATGTATGGATGATCACATCAGATGGGTGGTAATTATCATGAATCAGAATTTCTGACTGTGCAGTGCCTACTGCCAGTCCAGTGTCATTAATACCCTACAAAAGTCTGACTGTTGCTCTGACACTTTGACCCACTGCTGTCTTCTCTGAATATTTTCAAGCATACATACATCTCCCCCTTGTAGCATTTTAGCTACTAGCCTTGTCATCTGAAGTTTAGGTTGGTACTTGCCTCCATCGATTGATTAATTAGAGATGATGTTTAAAAGTTCCACAGAGATAATATCTGGAGCTATGTAGTACTGAATTCTAAACTGTTTGCAAATAGTTTGTCTATACTTTCTGTCTCCGAATTGTGACTGGAAAGTATAGTGTCATTTGGTGTTGTCTTGTTGTCCCCAGTTTCCAGATGATTCTCCCACTCCAGTGGCAGCATTCCACCGTGAAGCCTGTGTGTATTCATCTTGCAGGCACTGGCGACCATGTAAGTGTGGATGGCTATCAACATCTTTATCGTCTTCACTCTCATCTTCTTTATTGTCATCTTCATGCTCACCATCATCATCTCTACCATCATCGTCACTATCACTATTATCTTCACTGTCATTATCATCATCATCATCACTGTTGCCATCATCATCACTGTCTGCATCATTATCATCATTAATGTCTGCATCATTATTATCATTACCACCACAACTGCCATCATAATCATCATCATCACCGTCTGAATCATCTTCACTGTCCACATCATCATCATTACCACCACCACTATCATCATCATCATCAGCATTATTATTATCATTATTACCATAATCATTGTCATCATCTTTATTAGTATAATTATAACTTGTATTATCATTACATTTATTGTCATGTTCATCATTATCATCACTGTTACCAATAATGATGATGACTGCTTCTTTGTAATGTGTGTGAACTTATTCTGGCAATCCAGACTTTTCATTATTTAGTTATAATACACTACATTCAAAGAAGAATGAAGTAGAAAAAGAAACTAATCACACGTCTTGCTGCTTCTTCTCAATTCCAATTCTGGTTTTCAGCATCATGTTTTGCAGAGGCTTTGGGTGCAAGCCTAAGTATGTGCTACACAGATGTATTGACGGCCTCAAATATTCCTTCTATCCATTGCTTGCATGGTCAACCTCTGAACTGCTTTCATTATGTCTAATTCACGGGGCTTTCTGTGGGACACTCTCTGGTGGTAGTCTTGACACATGTCTGAATCATTTCTTTTTGTTTGTCCGTGGCGTAAATGCATTGTGCCTCTTTACAGCAAAGCTGTGATATTTGCACTTTTTGGCCAACACATCCAGCTTCACCAGGCATTTGTTCACCGTGCTAGCCTTCCCGATTGGTTTTGTGGAACATGATGTGCCCTTATTTGCATGGTGTCCCCACTGTCCTTTTACCTGCAGGTGTTACCCCTGGAGAACCCATCTAGGGCAACGTCGTGTAGATGGGTCGGTCTTCAGGGGAAAGCAGGGACAGATCATGGGTTTTCCCAGTCATTCAAAGAGGCTTTTATAAATGCAGAGCTGACACATGACTCTCTGGTCCTGGGCTCACCCAAAGAATCTTCATGATCACACATTACTGCTTCACCTCTCATCAGTGTGTTGAGCTTCGAACTCATCATAAGCCCTTTGGAGATCAACAGGGAGCAGCCAACAGTCCAGAACTTCAAGTACCACCCAATTTGGCACATTCTTCTGCAGTGTGTTAGACACCTTTAATGTTATTTTATCTAGAAACTTAGCACGGCAGTATGGAAAAACATGTATCGGGCTGAACCTTTCTTTTAAAAAATAGGACTTTTGGTGGTCGGACATTTAAGACATGTGACTGACAAAACATTCAAGCCTGATCAGCTGATTGACAGTCGCAGATTGTCCGGGTGTACCTCAACGCAGTGATGACGTTGAGGGTCGACAAATAATGTATGAAGACTTGACTGTACTGCAAGAAACTGCCCACAGGAGATGTTGCTCATCTTTGCAGCAAACAAATCTATTTGTCGAGGGCTGAGTTTCAGCAGTTCAGTGGCTTTTTCACTCAACAGACGTTTGAACCACAGTTTGTTAAATATTAAGAAGTTTGGCCAGCGAGCTTCACTCATGTTCAAAATGAGTTTCTGATAGACATTGTTGCCAATGCATTGGGGGTGGGCTGATGAGAGCCAGTTGGTTTCTGGAGACTGCATCTCTGGAGCCACCAATCCTGAGATCCTCTGCCAACTCTATTGAAGCCCATGTTACCATAATCCGTAGCGTACGGCGAGGATGTGTGGTAAAAGTCTTGCATGAGGATCCGTAAAACCAGCATAGAGCCAACTGGTGCCTGAGTTGAGGTTCAGAGTATCTTCTTATACGCATCTAAGTGGCCTTGATTTTCCCTCACGCATGTGACTGAAATCACCACACTACATCTGAACCATTTGATCTGTTGTCTCTTGATGAAGTTTAATACGGGCGGCGTCCCAACTTGTTTTCTGATGTTGTATTTTCTGATCCAGTCGCTTCTAATTACATTTGGGATTTGTCTTAGACATTTATTTTCTATTGTTTAGATTTTTCTGTTGCCTTTTGTTGTTTATCTCTGCATTTGGCACCAAAAATTGGATTTGCTTCATTATATATATGATCTATCCCTGCTTCTGTTTTCCATTCAGTGATACTATGCTTCTTAGACATCTGCAGTCTTTTGCTTTGTTTAATTGTTGGTTTTCTATGCGTATCTTAATTTGTTGTTTTGTTCTTGCAATGGTAAAAACCTCTTCTTCTTCTTGTCAGTATGAATGTTCATGTTTTATGCTTTTGCTGTCATGCTGAGGTTATCTAGGTATCTGCAACTCTTCCTCTTTAGTTTACATTATTTATTTGCATATATTGAGATTTTAACTTCTGTTTTCAGTATTTCTGGCGGAGGAGGATTTTCACAGCGAGGCCTTTGCTGAAAGAGTCTGGGATTGCATCCATCCTGCTTGAAAATCCATATTGTATCCTTGTGACTTAAGATACGTTCTTAGCTATTGGCTTAGTTAATAAACTTCATGGGTCTTTGTGGCGAAGTAGTCAAACCCTTTGCCCTGGAATGCCTGTATTCTCTCTCTTTTTTTTTTTTTTTCAATAGTTGTAGACTTTTGTTAGCTTTTCTCTTTCTTTTTTGTGGACAATAATTATTAGTTGGATAGACATAAATACCGACACCACATGGCATGGACTAACTATTGCAAGCTTTGTTTAGCAGTCAGTGGTTGCAAACTCTGGTGAAAACTTCTGGTTGTTCTTCTACTTCTAGACTTTGATCTTCTTCCCAGCTTGAGATCTGCGTGCACATCCATTTTACAAATTTGGGTTATTCATATGCAGACTGTTGGTTTCTCACCTCTCAGGCAGATGCACTCCAGCTCCGAAGGAAATAGCCCTAATTAGTCAACATGCTTCTTGGGTGGGGGGGGGGGGGGGCAGTGGAGATCAGGGAATAGACCCACTGCCTCCCGAACAAAAAGCGGTTCTAGGAAGCTAATTAAGAGTGTTTACTTCAAAGTGGGAGGGCATCTGCCTGAGAGACAAGGAAGTAACCAACAGTCTGTATACAAGTAAGCCAGAGTTTGTTCAAATGGATGTGCACGCAAAACTCGGGTTCTGGACCAAGACCAATGTCCAGGAGTGGATGAACATCCAGAACTTTCCTCTGAAGTTTACAGCCAGTGAATGCTAAGAAGAAGAAGACTTGTTTCATGGAGAGGCCTGGCAGATTTTGGTGATATGGTTTCTTTAACTCTGACCACAGATGGAACTAGGAAGCCAAAACAGCAAATGTAAGTACACATCAGTCTCAGTAGCTTCTTATTTTTCTTCTTCGCGCTCACCAGCTGTACACTCTGGCGGAAGGTTCTGGTTGCTCGTCCACTACTGAACTTCAGTCCTGCTCCAGAAGCTGAGTGTTGCGTGTGCATCAGTTTTATAGATCTCATTCTCTTGAAAACAGACTGTTGGTTCCTTGCCTCTCCGGCAGATGCACTCTGACTTCAAAGGAAGCTCCACAATTAGTCGACTCTTACGACATACTTTTGGGGAGGCAGTGGGTCTATTCTTGTTTTCCCCACAATGGGGCCCCGGAACCCACCCGGGGGGTCTCAGTATCATATGCTGCTCTTATGTCACAAATTTGTATCTGTGGTTTGGGGGGAAAAGGGGGGGGGGGGGGGGGTCATGAGTACAGTTTTATAATTCTGATATATACTGAGTGAAATTGAACCCCACTAGGACCACACACTGAATGACCAACACCTGTTGACCCAAAGAGCCATTATTCAGATGAGAATCCCCCGTGTACAAATCACGGAAACTATGTTCACCTGTAAGGTTATATTGGGACCCCTGGTCACCATGAAGTAACCCAAAGTCTGCTACAGTTCAGCTGCAGGCAGTTGATCAGTCCACTGCTTTCTCTTGATTTCAACCATTCAGAAAGGAGTGGCAAACTACCAAATGTAAAATTGCCTAGTAATACCACAAACATCCAGCAAATGCTAAGATTGGTTTGTGTTGCACTATAAAGGATAATACAGCTTACTTGATGACACATGATGATGATGATAAAGATCCCCTAATAACTTTTAAAACACATATGTAAGATGTTTCCTTACCCTTGATTCTACTGATCGTGTTGGATGGCGAACTTGATCACATATATTTATCAACATGACACATGATGACCTACTGAATGCTGATTGGTCTGTAAGTTATAGATGACACAGTATGTGCCCAAATTTGCATGAATGCATCTAAAAGGGTCCTTTACTTTTTTTTAAAGCTTGGTTGAAGTAAACCTGATAGCAATAAAACCATAATCCCCCTGCACTAAAACCTACAGGATCAAAGGAATAAAGACAGACCAAATAACAGAAGGAAATTCAGTAGTAAGGGATGCATGAAATGAGACCAAATAACAGAAGGGAATTCAGTAGTAAGGGATGCATGTAATGAGACCAAATAACAGAAGGGAATTCAGTAGTAAGGGATGCATGTAATGAGACCAAATAACTGAAAGGAATTCAGTAGTAAGGCATGCATGTAACGAGACCAAATAACAGAAGGGAATTCAGCAGTAAGGCATGCATGTAACGAGACCAAATAACAGAAGTGAATTCAGTAGTAAGGCATGCATGTAACGAGACCAAATAACAAGAGAATTCAGTAGTAAGGCATGCATGTAACGAGACCAAATAACTGAAAGGAATTCAGTAGTAAGGCATGCATGTAACGAGACCAAATAACTGAAAGGAATTCAGTAGTAAGGCATGCATGTAACGAGACCAAATAACAGAAGGGAATTCAGAAGTAAGGCATGCATGTAACGAGACCAAATAACAGAAGGGAATTCAGTAGTAAAGCATGCATGTAACGAGACCAAATAACAGAAGGGAATGCAGTAGTAAAGGATGCATGTAACGGCTGTAATCGCTTTTTACACTTTCTGCTGCAAAAGAAAAATGCATTTTTTTAGTGTTTGCAATTCATTACAAATACGCCATTTAGTTTACATCTCGCTGAGTACATAAAGTATGTTAACAGTATTAATACAGTGAAAAGAATGCTCGCTGCATCCTTAGACCAGTTATGCTGAAACTGTAACGTGTGAGAGCTACCATTACTAAAAGTATGATGCTAGCTGCGCACTTATACTCTTGACAGTGAAAATATCACGTTTTACTCTCCAGTGTAATTATTACCTGCTAACAATTTTTTGTAAACCACTTATACATGCGAATTGATCATGCCTCACCACTAAGGAAATTAGAGAATGAAGTGGGGAAAAAAGGAACGGTACAAATAGGGGGTGACCTATTTGTTGCAGGGTTGCCAGACTTTGTTGGGGAAAAAAAGACATTTTTTCGCTACTAATATGCTATAAAATATACATATTCAACCTGCTAGACTTAACTCCTTCGGAACAATATTTGGGGTGGGGGGAGGGGGGAAACTGAGGAATCCGGGCAGAATAGAATATCTGGCAGCCCTGATTTGCCATGAAGTGGGAACTGCAATGAACTTTTTCTCCAACTCTGATCCCAGACGTTCTAGTCTTCACAATGTCAGCGATCTGTTTGTGATGGGCGGAGCTTTAGTCCTGGAGTCGCTGGCATTGCTGCACTGGTGTGAGAGGCAGGGCTGGGGTCCGCTAGGGTTGTCTGGCGTTTCTATGGGAGGCCATGTAAGCAGATTTTCATTATTTTATATAGCAAATTTTTTTTGCCCAAGAAGTTTGTGCCCTCAAGCATGTACCATATTTTGCTGTGTACAAAACGCTCCCATGTATAAAGGGTTACTGTACATATAGGGCTAGATCAATATTTTATAGACCAATCGGCATGCAGGGGATGATGGGTCAGCATCATGCAACCAGAGTTACTTCCCAGGACTTTACCTGGTACCCATTTAAGGCTAGGTCTACCTGGGAACCAAGGTCATTTTTGAAAAAAAAATCTGGCTCCATCAGGACCTGAACTTGCGATCTTCACAGACAAGTGTCTAGCTGCTATACCATGATTTCCCCCACACCCCCTTTTTTTTCCATTTTTAAGACGGACCCTGTTTTTCTTCGCCTAAAATCAGGTAATAGATATTTGAAACACCAAAACAGAAAAACGTTTATACTGGAGGGTCTGGATAGCCAAGGGGTGGCTGAGGGATGGAGGGAAAGAAATCATGTCTGGAGGGAGTAATGTACAGAGTGGGGGCTGCTGGGTGTGGGCTTCCTGGCCAGGTTTTGTCATTCCAACAGTGAGGGGAGACTGGAGAGGGGAGGGAGTAAATGGATAGCATGTATTTTTATATTTACTTGCAACATTCTGTGTATAAGATGACTTCCAATTATAAGGTTATAAAATTTGGGAGAAAATAATAATCTTTTACACAGAAAAATACAGTATGTCTCTATCTTATACAATAAATAATTTAGTATCTCATGATGATAACTGGGCCCTCTCTTGACTTGGCAAAGGGGGGAGGGGCATTGTAATTTACAGGCTTCTATGTTGTTGGCCCTGTTTGTAGTGTTTCTTCATATACACTTCAGTCTCTTCTAATCCTATTCACTTCAGTCTGTAATTCTCTTATATTCCTATTCACTTCAATATGTAATTCTCTTATATTCCTATTCACTTCAATATGTAATTCTCTTATATTCCTATTCACTTCAGTCGTAATTCTCTTATATTCCTATTCACTTTAGTCTGTAATTCTCTTATATTCCTATTCATTTCAGTCCTTAATTCTCTCATATTCCTATTCACTTCAGTCCTTAATTCTCTTATATTCCTATTCACTTCAGTCCTTAATTCTCTTATATTCCTATTCACTTCAGTCTGTAATTCTCTTATATTCCTATTCATTTCAGTCCTTAATTCTCTTATATTCCTATTCACTTCAGTCCGTAATTCTCTTATATTCCTATTCATTTCAGTCCTTAATTCTCTTATATTCCTATTCACTTCAGTCTGTAATTCTCTTATATTCCTATTCACTTCAGTCCATAATTCTCTTATATTCCTATTCACTTCAGTCTGTAATTCTCTTATATTCCAATTCACTTCAGTCTGTAATTCTCTTATATTCCTATTCACTTCAGTCTGTAATTCTCTTATATTCCAATTCACTTCAGTCTGTAATTCTCTTATATTCCAATTCACTTCAGTCTGTAATTCTCTTATATTCCAATTCACTTCAGTCTGTAATTCTCTTATATTCCAATTCACTTCAGTCTGTAATTCCCTTCTAATCATATTCATTTAGTCGAATTCTCTTATATTTAATTTCACTTAGTGTAATTGTCTTCTAGTCTCAGTGACTCCAGTGTGTTGTTTCTAATCATTTTCACTTCAGTCTCTGATTCTCTTCTTTGATTATTATGTGCATTATTCACCACTCTATTTGTTATTTATGGTCCCTTTAGTTCTTAAATCCTGATGGTCTTTATTTATTTTACACATCTCCATCTCTCTCCATCAGCTAGTAGTATGCCGTATGTCTACAGCCGGCATTATCCAAATCTGTGAGCAGAAAAGGTTCATATGTTCTAAAGTTTATGTGTCTAAAAGGTCATGAGAGTTGTGCTGGTAGTCACATGACTTTCATCATGGCCCGCAACACAGTTCAGAGGCCCAGAATACAGTTACTCACATTCTCCACTATACACACAAGCCTCACAACACAATTACAGGCCTCACAATACAGTTACTCACATTCTCCACTATACACACAAGCCTAACAACACAATTACAGGCCTCACAATACAGTTACTCACATTCTCCACTATACACACAAGCCTAACAACACAATTACAGGCCTCACAATACATTTCAGAGGCCCTCACAATACATTTCAGAGGCCCTCACAATACAATTACAGGCCTCACAATACATTTCAGAGGCCCTCACAATACAATTAACAGGCCTCACAATACATTTCAGAGGCTCTCACAATACAATTAACAGGCCTCACAATACATTTCAGAGGCTCTCACAATACAATTAACAGGCCTCACAATACATTTCAGAGGCCCTCACAATACAATTAACAGGCCTCACAATACATTTCAGAGGCTCTCACAATACAATTAACAGGCCTCAAAATACATTTCAGAGGCCCTCACAATACAATTAACAGGCCTCAAAATACATTTCAGAGGCCCTCACAATACAATTAACAGGCCTCAAAATACATTTCAGAGGCCCTCACAATACAATTAACAGGCCTCAAAATACATTTCAGAGGCCTCACAATACAATTAACAGGCCTCACAATACATTTCAGAGGCCCTCACAATACAATTAACAGGCCTCAAAATACATTTCAAAGGCCCTCACAATACAATTAACAGGCCTCAAAATACATTTCAGAGGCCTCACAATACAATTAACATACCTCACAATACATTTCAAAGGCCCCTCACAATACAGTCCAAAGATCTCGCAGTGCAGTCAAGCACCCTATAAAACGGTACTGTATCTCCACAAAACAGTGGGACGAGTCCCACAGTGAAATTCAGTAGCACCACAAAGTAGCACCTGAAGCCCCACAGCACAGTTCATAGGCCTCACAAAGTAATACTACAAGCCTCTTACAACATTTCCACATCTCCACAAAGAAGTATCACAGGCCCCTCAACGCTGAACTGCAGGCCCCACAATGCAGTACCACAGGCCCCACAATGCAGCACTGCAGGCCCCACAATGCAGCACTGCAGGCCCCACAATGCAGTACCACAGGCCCCACAATGCAGCACTGCAGGCCCCACAATGCAGTACCACAGGCCCCACAATGCAGCACTGCAGGCCCCACAATGCAGTACCACAGACCCCATAATGCAGCACTTCACTTTACAATGTTGTCTCCATCCTGACATGCCAGTCAGCACTATCACTGACATTCAGCGACCTACCTTTCAGATGGCCAGTGGTGCGGCGACTTTGTGGCCAAAACCAGTCTCTCTAATACCAATTCTGTCTTGGACAACTGCGTCCGTTATTTTTACCCAGGTAACAGAGAATCGATTGATGTCAAATTTTGTTTGACACTCTATTTTAGCCCAAATTCATAGCTCGGCAGGATGTTTCTTTGCCTTCCGCATTTTTTCATTTATCAAAGTTGGAAAGGTACATTTATGAATTGCAACTATTAACCCTTTGAGTCCCAAGGAACGCATCATACGTTCATAGGTTACTGCCTAGAAGCCCAATGAACGCATGATGCGCTGATTTTAGTCTCTTTTGACTACCCCTTGGGCCTGTGATGCTAAACCCTCTGGGACTCAGAGAGATAAATTGTGTTTTTAAGTGTAGGTTTTTCCCGCAGGGTTTATACCTGTAAGGGTTCTGGGGCCCCTGGGAGGTGTGGGGTATAAACCCACTGCCCCTAACAAGCATGTCAGAAAAGGCAAATAATTAGGAGTTTGCTGAAATTGTATATGGCGGCCCTAAAGTCACAGATATCGCAGCCTTGCTGTAAACCACAATACAAATCTCAGCTGCCCTTTTAAGGGCAGACACAGGAAAGAAGAAGAAAAATGGGTTTAAATAGTTACTGGCTGTAATAAAAGAGTTAAAAGGGCTGTTTACTTTGACTGAGTCGGTGTGTGGTGACATCCGTCATGAAAACATATCTTAGACATCTTAGACATAGAGAGAGAGAAAAACAGTCAGCATCTGTAGATATACCTTTCCAAAAAAGACTGTAACTACATTTCTTCAAAGGTCAGCAGGACCATTGCAGAATGTAAGTAACTTCCTGTGCTGCATAACTCTTCTGAAATGCAGGAGATTTTGTTGTAGTTGATTTCAAAGCTGTTGTCTATCCTGAAATCCTAGGGGAGTTTGTAGTTTACTCGACTTCGCTGAACCAAACCAGAATTTAATTATTGTATGGGCTTGCTAAGATTCTTTGAGCACAATTATTGTTTCATGTTAACAGTTATTAACATGTTACTGTTGTTAACAGTTTTATGTTAACTCTTTCACCCCCAAGCAATACATCATTTGTTTATCGCACCTGCTTTTCTGAACACCATATAATTAGTCCAGTTGTAGCTTCTGCCATGAACAGTTATATATCTAATGGAGAAGTAGAATTAGTCTGCTTCAGATGATCACAATCATGAATGACAAGTGAATGTTGTGGCTAGAATTTCTTCATCAGCATATGACACAAAATTAAAATGAGGGTTAAAAACAAAAATATACAAAAATCACTTATGTGTGACTAACTCACCAAGAGACTAAGACCTTAATACGGTCTAGTATCTAAGAAAGATGGCTGGATACCCGCATCAAATCTTGTCCTCAAGACTCGCTTCATCACCTCTCTAGAGAGGAACATTGTGTTATTTTCAGACTATGGACAAGGCACAAGAGACCTCGTCAACAAATGTTCATACTTTGTTGGTGTAGGAAACGTGGAGACGTGTTATAGCACCAGACAATGATGAGCATGTGCAGCACTGTCCCTGTATGCTGCTAATTGAGACACAGTCTGGCCTGTTCCAACTACATTGAAGACAAAGTTCTTTAGTGCACAAGGAGATTTGGACAGCCTGAAAGCTTTCATAAAGGCTAATCCTCCAGATATAAGTGTTCTGGCAGAATGATTGAAGAAGAAGACTTATCTCTAAGTTGAAGTCTACCAGAGAAATACCTGTAACATGTTTGGACAGTGGAAACTCTGAGTCACGTGTGATGACTGGAAGAGGGTGCTTAACAGGAAGAGAGGTGGGATTGGCCAGTAACAGCAAGGGTTGTAACTCAAAGATTTGAGTCATTCCAGGTTGGGGCATTTTTTTTTAGGGGTTGGGGGGGGGGGGGGGGGGGGTGTCCTATTTTTTATATTTGTCTAACCCTTGTGGGCCCAAACACAAATAATTACTAGGAAAGGAGGAGTTAAATTAACACATGAAAGAGTTAACAACATGTTACAATTGTTAACCAGTTCCATGTTAACACGAGTTGAGTTGAGTCAAGAATTGATATCATAGCACACGAGGCATACCCATGTGTTCTTCGTCCTCATCTTCAGCAGCCAGCACAGAGTTCCAGTATTAATGGTACCGGTCATAATCTGGTTATATGTCCGTCTTTGCCTTTCCCCTGAGTTTAGTGAGCATGTTAACATTTAACCCTACCAGACCTGAGGCCCTAAACCTAACTGTCCCTATAACCTGAGCTCCTAGGTATTACCACGAAAAAACCAACATGATATACAAAAATATTAGTTACATGCAAACGAGTGGCTAGAATATGATGAAACTTGGAGACATTGTAGAAAATAGGCTTACCTTTTATCTAGCGCCAATATTCCACTTTTGTGTGCGAATTCACTCATCAGGATCAACTTTGTTTCACAAAGTGAACACCAGATGTTGCCGTTTGATGGGCACACCCCCTCCTCCTACTATCGATCTATTTCAGTATTGATAATTTTCAAGATTATCCTCATCATTCACGCTCTCACTACAGTGTCACTTCAAGAATGTATTCTTTATGAAATTATCACAGATAATGAATATGTATATATATATATCACAGAGTCTGAATAAACCAAAGTATCGATCACCTGTTGGACTGGGAAAAGCCTAGAACTTGGTTCATCAGCCGCTCGCTTCATTCTGAATTTTCCGAATTTTTTAACGTTAAAACACTCAAAATTGGTTCACACACACGGGGAAGCCATTTGCAATGTCTAACAAAGCGGACTGATGACGATTGGTTGGTTTTTTTTAGTCAGTGATCTTTCTCACGCACTATGCAAAAAGCCAAAAAATTAGGGCCAGCGGTATAGAGAACAGTTATGAAATTCCCAGAAAACCGGGCCAGCGGTCTGGTAGGGTTAATAATGTAACTAATCTCCTGCATTTCAATAAGAAGCCTCTGTGCTTCCCCTCTTTATTTCCATCTATATTTGTGATGCTCTGGATACGAACTCATGCGTGATCAGATGGCATCTTTAGCTGCTACCAACTGGACTAAGCCGGTCACCCTGGTACCATGCCTCTCCTGGAGCACCGCTTCTTGTGTGTTTACTCAGGTAAATCTTAGTTTTGTTATTTCTCTCAGGTAAATCTTAGTTTTGTTATTTCTCTCAGGTAAATCTTAGTTTTGTTATTTCTCTCAGGTAAATCTTAGTTTTGTTATTTCTCTCAGGTAAATCTTAGTTTTGTTATTTCTCTCAGGTAAATCTTAGTTTTGTTATTTCTCTCAGGTAAATCTTAGTTCTGTTATTTCTCTCAGGTAAATCTTAGTTCTGTTATTTCTCTCAGGTAAATCTTAGTTTTGTTATTTCTCTCAGGTAAATCTTAGTTTTGTTATTTCTCTCAGGTAAATCTTAGTTTTTTTGTATTTCTCTCAGGTAAGTCTTAGTTTTATTATTTCTCTCAGCTAAATCTTAGTTTTATTTCTCTCATGTAAATTTTAGTTTTTTTTAAATTTCTCTCAGGTAAGTCTTAGTTTTATTATTTCTCTCAGACAAATCTTAGCTTTAATATTTCTCTCAGGTTAGTTTTTCTATTTTGTCACTCTCCAAGGTAGGTCATGTTATTTCACCATTCTCTCATGTAAATCTTGTTTTTTCATCATTCCCCTAGGTGAGTCTGCTATTATATTAATTTATCTCAGGTAAGAAATGATATCTATTGGAAAATGCCATATGATTGACAGTACAAACACCTTTATCCTCCGCCCTAAAGCGTATTGGGTACAAAATGCTAGGCTTATATTTGTAGTCCAATCTGCACTTGGTGGGTAATGTGGTCAACATCATGCCAGTCACCTTTACTTCCCCAAAATTTACCCGTTACCCATTTCACCTGTTTGACCCGAGAACTCTAAACAAACAAAAATAAGTCATGATCCCTTTATGATTCCTGGAAAAAATGTTAAAAACGACCATTTTTGCACGTCACTAATAAATTTGTTTAAAATATATTTATCAGCATTCTAAAATTATGTTTTGAAAGATTTAAAGATCCATGAAAGAAGTAATTAATAAACACATGCAGGGTGAAGCGGTGAATACACCCACCGGGACTTAAAAACACACACATTTTCTGTAACTCATGCTGACCCGGTGACCTTTACCATGAAGGCTTATGAGAAAATCTGGCGTCCTCTTGGCTTTAAAAAAAGCCATTTAGCAAAAGGAGAATCCCTATAAATGTTGTTAGTTTATTTATTAATATCCTGGCCTCCTAAATTTTTATGCAGGCTTGACCTTAGCCAGTTGCATTAACTATACATCTCGTTAACAGGTCACAATAGGCAGATCAGAAAAGTTACATTTTAGATAGAATTAAACCCAGCTGGACCTGTCAGTTTGTCAACTTGTCTAGGCAAAAGGGTTAAGGCTATGTTGACCTAGGAGCCAAGGTCATTTTTTAATAATTCCAACTTTATGCAAATTAGAAACTGTGACTTCAGATCCAGAGGCAGGCATCTAGCCAGTAAATCATAGGTGACAATGTCCTCATAATAATTCTATCTTCTTTATAGAGGTGACCACATACTAGTTGTTCCCTCTAGTTAAAGGTATCCTGATAGTAACTATTCCCTCTAATTAGAGGTACCTTCATAGGAATAGTTCTGGCCAGTTAGTGGTTTCCTCAAAGCAACAGTTCCCTCAAGTTAAAGGGAGAACACATAGCATAGACATTTTTCCCTCTAGCTGTTGGTGACTTCATAGCAGTTGTTCTCTCTGCCTAGGAATGCCCTCATAGCAATTGTTCCCTCTACCTAGGGGTCTCCTCATAGCAGTTGTTCCCCCTACCTAGGGATGCCCTCATAGCAATTGTTCCCTCTACCTAGGAATGTCCTTATAGCAGTTGCTTGCTCTACCTAGGGATGTCCTCATAGCAGTTGTTCTCTCTACCTAGAAATGTCCTCATAGCAGTTGTTCTCTCTACCTAGGAATGTCCTCATTGCTATTGTTCTCTCTACCTAGGAATGTCCTCAGATCAGTTGTTCTCTCTACCTAGAAATGTCCTCATAGCAGTTGTTTTCTCTACCTAGGGATGTCGTCATAGAAATGGTTCCCTCTACCTAGAGGTGTCCTCATAGCAATGGTTCCCTCTACCTAGAGATGTCCTCATAGCAATGGTTCCCTCTACCTAGAGATGTCCTCATAGAAATGGTTCCCTCTACCTAGAGATATCCTCATAGAAATGGTTCCCTCTACCTAGAGATGTCCTCATAGCAATGGTTCCCTCTACCTAGGGATGTCCTCATAGAAATGGTTCCCTCTACCTAGAGATATCCTCATAGCAATTGTTCTCTCTACCTAAGGATGTCCTCATAGCAATTGTTCTCTCTACCTAGGGATGTTGTCATAGAAATGGTTCCCTCTGCCTAGAGATGTCCTCATAGCAATTGTTCTCTCTACCTAGAGATGTCCTCATAGCAGTTGTTCTCTCTACCTAGGGATGTCCTCATAGAAATGGTTCCCTCTACCTAGAGATGTTCTCATAGCAATTGTTCTCTCTACCTAGGGATGTCCTCATAGCAATTGTTCTCTCTACCTAGAGATGTCCTCATAGCAATTGTTCTCTCTACCTAGAGATGTCCTCATAGCAATTGTTCTCTCTACCTAGGGATGCCCTCATAGCAATTGTTCTCTCTACCTAGAGATGTCCTCATAGCAATGGTTCCCTCTACCTAGAGATGCCCTCATAGCAATTGTTCTCTCTACCTAGGGATGTCGTCATAGCAATTGTTCTCTCTACCTAGGCATGTCCTCATAGCAGTTGTTCTCTCTACCTAGGGATGTCGTCATAGCAATTGTTCTCTCTACCTAGAGATGTCCTCATAGCAATTGTTCTCTCTACCTAGGGATGTCGTCATAGCAGTTGTTCTCTCTGCCAACCCAAAAATATAGGGTTCATATCTGCATCAAGGGGCTTTTTTTGTGTGTGTGCTAACCTTGGCTCAGTTGGTGTGTGAACATATAGGTCTAACACCATCTGAAGTGTGCAATAGGTCTTCATCCTCCACAAGTCAACTATTTGCTTAGTTTTGAGTTAGATGCCTCATTAACGTTGTCGCCCTGAGAAAGCCGGATTTCGGGCTTTTAAGGGTTTTGGAAGACATGATGTCTTTGGGCAGTGACCAGCACGCCTATATAACAGCTATGGTACTTGTCGCAACTGCATAGTGTGTGGCCGTAGTGGGTATGATTGAATTTACCAAATATACTTTTTTATTAGGTATTATTCGAGATGAAAAAATTGATTTTGCTTTCATTGTGACATCATAATAAACTTATGGTGATGCCACTTTGCTGTCTCTGTCATCAAAACATCTGTTTTCTTGCTCAGAGAAAAGGAAAGTATTTATTTCTTTGCTCCGTTTATGTTTAGTTATTACTTGCTTTTATATAAAAATAATCACCTTGTGCAAAATAATAACTCTGAAATGAAAAAATCCATCTTTTTAGTGATCTGAGGAGGATGCTGGGTGGTCTCAAGACATGGTGTCTGCATCGAGTGGTAGAGGTTCCGGGTTCAATCCCGGTAAGGGCTGGTATTTTTTCCACGTGGACTTGGACTTCTAGTAATTCCTCCTGGTCTTTGGGTAGTGAGATTGGACGCCCATGTACATTGTGCGCACGTAAACAACCCTTGGCAGTTGGAAATCGAAAAGAGTAGCCTAACAGCGCTCCCTGGGCAAACTTTGGAGTTAAAAATTTACCCAAAATATTTCAGGATCCTCACTGGTGCTACAGCGGCTGTGCACTGTGCTGAGCTTCTTCGGGCTTAGACTTGAGTTAGAAGAAGAATGGAGCAGTTATGGGTTACTACCCTTGTGCCATGATGTTGGTCCGTTGTTCAGAATGTCAAAACCAGTGATCTGAGGGTCACAATGACGCAGTAGCTAACTGGCTTGCCTGTATGCTTGATTCCAGCTTCCTGGGTTTCTATAAAAACTGTCCCAGACTTCAAATTTCTTCTGCTTCTTTTTTGTTTTCCTCCTCTAGTTTCTTGGTGCATAATGGATAATAATTTGTTTGTTTATTTGTAATGAAATTTTGATAGAGGTTCTTTTGTGCAAGGTTTATTATGGAACAAAAGGATTAAGTGATGAAGGGCAGAAGATGAAGATGTGACTCCAGCTTTGTACTGTCTTCCAACAGGGTGTCATGAGTGGAGCTATTCCCTGGAAGACACTTCAAGAGCAGTTCTTTGAGAACAGCGTGTACCAGGATGAGATCAGAAAGCTGATTGTGTCTCCAGAAGAGGTGGGTTTCCACCACCACCCCCCCCCACCCCCCATTTACCATCATCACCACTACCACCACCATCATTATCATCACTACCACCATCATTATGATCATTCCATTACCACCAGCATCATCATCACCATCACCAACATCATCATCACCATCACAAGTCATCAGTCATATTGTACCTTGCCAGATAGTGTACTTGCTTAACTCTCCACATATTTATTGGCTGGGGCCGTGACCAGAATGTATATTCTTACATTCAGAATATATGACCTTTTTTCATTCTTCGCGTTCACCATCTGTTAACTCCAGTGGAATATTTTGGTTGTTCATCCACTTCTGGACTTTAGTCTTTTTCTAGAACTTGAGTTTTGCATACATACCAGTTTTATAGATCAGGTGTATATGTATGCGCTCTGGTTCCTTGCCTCTTAGCCAGATGCACTCTGACATAAAAGGAACATCTCTGATTAGTCATTTTTTTCCTACGTGCTTGTTAGGAAGCAGTGTGTCTATTCTCCTCTTCTCCATCATTTGCCCCGAAACTCACTTGGGAAACTGTTTGTTTAGAAACTGTGACTGTGTATCCAGAATCTATAACCAAGTGTCCATAATTTGTAACCAAGTGTCCAGAATCTATAACCAAGTCTCCAGAATCTATAACCAAGTGTCCAGAATCTATAACCAAGTGTCCAGAATCTATAACCATGTGTCCAGAATCTATAACCATGTGTCCAGAATCTATAACCAAGTATTCAGGATCTATAACCAAGTGTCCAGAATCTATAACCAAGTGCCCAGAATCTATAACCAAGTGTCCAGAATCTATAACCATGTGTCCAGAATCTATAACCATGTTTCCAGGATCTATAACCATGTGTCCAGAATTTGTAACCAAATATCCAGGATCTATAGCCAAGTGTCCAGAATCATTCACGTGTCCAGGATCTATAACCAAGTGTCCTGGATCTATAACCATGTGTCCAGAATCTATAACCATGTGTCCAGAATCTATAACCATGTGTCCAGAATCTGTAACCAAGTATTCAGGATCTATAACCAAGTGTCCAGAATCTATAACCAAGTGTCCAGAATCTATAACCAAGTGTCCAGAATCTATAACCATGTGTCCAGAATCTATAACCATGTTTCCAGGATCTATAACCATGTGTCCAGAATTTGTAACCAAATATCCAGGATCTATAGCCAAGTGTCCAGAATCATTCACGTGTCCAGGATCTATAACCAAGTGTCCTGGATCTATAACCATGTGTCCAGAATCTATAACCATGTGTCCAGAATCTATAACCATGTGTCCAGAATCTATAACCATGTGTCCAGAATCTATAACCATGTGTCCAGAATCTATAACCATGTGTCCAGAATCTATAACCATGTGTCCAGAATCTATAACCATGTGTCCAGAATCTGTAACCAAGTATTCAGGATCTATAACCAAGTGTCCAGGATCTGTGATTCTATAACCATACATCAAGAATCTGTTGGAGAAGCAAACCGCTAGTCCTAGAGAAGAGTGTACGAGTAACTGATAACCAGCAGTATTAATAAACTCATAGATTCTCAATGTTTGGTTATAAAATCCAGAATCACATGCATATTTGTGGTTGTATTGGTCCTCAATGGCTTTCGTTTGCTGGTCTTCTGCACTGCATTTTTATGTTGTATCCTTTACGTCGAGGAGAATTGGCTCTTCTATCCTAAAGCTGATGTGTTTTGGCCGTTTGAAACCTTAGGGTGGCCTGGAGGGTACAGTTTCTACAGAATGAGGCAGAGGCCAATCTCCATGAAAGTCAATACAAGACATTGGGTACAGTTTCTACAGAATGAGGCAGAGGCCAATCTCCATGAAAGTTAATACAAGACATTGAAGATGCATTGGCTTTGAAAGCACTTAGGGCTGGAGAATTGACTTGACAGAGAGAGACTTGAAGACATGCTGTAAGGAGAGTAAAGTTCTTTGAAGGACCTGCTGATTGATGATGATCCTTCATCTAACTATGACTATGAAAATGTATTTCTGTTTTTGTTCATCTATTCTACAGAAATTTAAACACAAAGCTTATGACATGGGCCAGCAGTTTGTGAAGGAGTACTCCCAGGAGATTCTGCATGTGGAATCCCTACACCAGCAGTTCAGCAGTGAGCAGAAGCAAACAACAACCCCTTTGGGAACATCAACGCCCAACCGTCCGGGCTCAGTACTTCCTGACACTCATTCAGCCGTAACAAACCCTGCAGCTAATCAGCCTTTGCAACATTTAACTGTTTTAGAAAACTTTGACAAAAATAACCCCAGTCTGAACAGTGTCTTAGGTGCCAGTATAAATGAAAATCAAAATGTTAAAGATGTGAAACCAACGCTGACCCCAGAGGAGTATATAACACGGGTAAGTAGCCAACAGTCTTTCAGTGAGGAGCAAAGTGTTTCAATGCTTTCACCAAGCAGCAATCCGGCAGAAAGTATTTTAACCGCAATATCTACAACACCTGCAAATGCAGTGTCCAAACCAGCAGCGATTGTGACACTGCATCACCAGTCAGAAGCAGCTCTTGCTTCTTCGTCTTTACAGCAGCATTCTATTTTATCGTCGTCTGCAGTACCAGTTGTAAATTCAAGTTCTTCATTATCTGATAAACAAGCGAAGCCAAGTGAGGCAGCAACGAAGGATTCTATGCAGACTTTGAAATCTGGAAAGGTTAAACAGTCTGTGCTTGTCTCAAATGTCCATTCGATGGCTGAAACTGACAACCTAACTTTGAAAGATGCCTTTTCAAAGTCCAGGCTTTTGATTTCTCATTCACGATCATCAGTACCAGTAAGGGATGAACAGGTGAAGAATCTTCAGCTAGAGGCACTGGATTTCATGAGGGGGGTGATGGATGAGTGTACTCATCTTGGAAACTTCTCTGTTCCAGTAGATCCTGAGTTGATTATCATCGTTTCTGCTAAGCAGGATGCTTATGTTCCCAAGGAGGGAGTGATTGGGCTTGATCAGTTGTGGCCAGGTTGTGAGGTGCGCTACGTGGACCAGGGACATGTCGGAGCAGTTTTATTTAATCAAAGTGTGTTTCGGTAAGTGCATTTTTGTGTGATCAGATTCTATCTCTGCAGAGGCATGTAATTATTTCGGCAGTCTTTTCTAGGCATTCACTGGCTGTAAACTCTGGTGGAAAGTTCTGGCTGTTCATACACATCTGGACTTTGATCTTGTTCAGAAACTTGAGTTTTGCGTGCACATCTCCTTTACAGATCTAGCTAATTTGTATTCTGACTGTTGGTTCCTCACCTTTGAGGCAGATGCACTCAAGCTTTGAAAGAAAATCCCTCAATTAGTCACTTTGTATGACATGCTTGTTAGGAAGACAGTGGCTCTGTCTCCTCCCCCCCCCCCCCCCCCCACCCCTTTTTTAGAATGGGGCCAAAAACCTACATAGATAATTTAGGCAGCAATATAGATACAGATAGGTCACCGAAAATGATATTAAAATAATGAATACTACTATTACTTCTAAGTTTGATGGCTGTGAGCTAGGTGGAAAGTACCAATTGTTCGACCAGGGCTGTCTGCACATCTCGTTTACAGATCGACCTTATTTATGTGCATGTTGGTCTTAGTTGGCCAGTGTAGAGACCATCATCACAGTAGTCTAGACAGACCCATAGGTGCTCCGATATCCTCTTGAATATCGAGTAAAATCACTGATCACGCCCGTTGTGTTTTGATTAATCAGACGTCTTGTGCCTTTGGTGAAATATTCATGTCTGGCTGTCCTGGGTTGCACCCCAAAGTCCATTAACCTGGCCAGAATATCAAACCTGTTTAAAGGATGACTACTACGAGGAGGTGTGGATAGATCTGGACCAGTTTAGCTCCTGATACACCTCTACATCTCAAAAATTAGTCATCATTATGTATTGAGGTCCTTTGCAGAACATTGCGGTTATTGCAGTCTGCCTGAAAGAAACTCGGTCTCTCGCCATAACTCCCAGCTCCTGCACTTTACTAACCAAGGTTCACTCACATCCTCACCCATCTATTTGTGCTGTCGGCCTCTGCCCCTCTTTCTTGGAACCATGCCGTCTGCTATTATTTTTTTTTCAAACTGCTGTGGTGCTTGATATGGCCAGAATATTTGAGTTTTGGCTTCCTTGATAGGTTTCTTTGGATACTAATGTAGTATTCCCCCCCCCCCCCCCTTATTTTCCGCATTGCATTAGATTCTTTCCTCAGCTTTTGGCAAGCAATCTTTTAGATTGCCAGGGCAAGCAGTCAAAGATCAAACTATTGGGATGAACCCTGCTAATGAAGTGAAGTCAGTTCTCTCACCTTTTCCTCAATATGGGTTCCCAGGCCTCATATGGGGGTGGTGACGGGATGGACCCACTAATTACTGGTAAATGTGAGAGGATCGACTTCGCTGCAATGATTTTTATCTCATGTGGCACAGTCTCTTCCAGCATAATATGCATATCATCATAAAATGCTTTATTAGTAAAATAAAACTTCTGTGCGAAAGATAGTTGATTGAAAGGGCCGAATGTAAGACGGGTCTGCATGCCCAATTTGTGACCCTTTGGAAAAAAGTTTGTTCATTCAGCAAAACAGCAAGCTACCTGCCGAGAGTGTCTCACAGAGTACAACCTTCAAGAGTGTCTCACAGAGTACAACCTTCAAGAGTGTCTCACAGAGTACAACCTTCAAGAGTGTCTCACAGAGCACAACCTGCCAAGAGTGTCTCACAGAGCACAACCTTCAAGAGTGTCTCACAGAGCACAACCTTCAAGAGTGTCTCACAGAGCACAACCTTCAAGAGTGTCTCACAGAGCACAACCTGCCGAGAGTGTCTCACAGAGCACAACCTGCCGACAGTGTCTCACAGAGCACAACCTGCCGACAGTGTCTCACAGAGCACAACCTGCCGAGAGTGTCTCACAGAGCACAACCTTCGAGAGTGTCTCACAGAGCACAACCTGCCGAGAGTGTCTCACAGAGCACAACCTGCCGAGAGTGTCTCACAGAGCACAACCTTCAAGAGTGTCTCACAGAGCACAACCTGCCGAGAGTGTCTCACAGAGCACAACCTCCCGAGAGTGTCTCACAGAGCATAGCCTGCCGAGAGTGTCTCACAGAGCATAACCTTCGAGATTGTCTCACACAGCACAACCTTCTAAAGTGTCTCACACAACCTTCGAGAGTGTCTCACAGAGCACAACCTTCGAGAGTGTGTTACAGAGCACAACCTTCAAGAGTGTCTCACAGAGCGCAACCTTCGAGAGTGTCTCACAGAGCGCAACCTTCGAGTGTGTGTTACATAGCACAACCTTCGAGTGTGTCTCACAGAGCACAACCTTCACAGACGAACTTTAGAGATCTCCATAAAAATTGCACTCCTGAACTGAATGACATCGTCAGTCATGAAACAATCCACTAGCTTCAAATCGTGAGGCAAACAGCTGACCACTTCACCACGGAGACCCCTCCCCACTGATTACTGATAAACTTAAAACATTCAATTAGTACATTTATATGTAACCTTTTTTAATTTTCATTTTCTGTATCCACAGGAAAGCTATCTCTGATGCGTTTGATCGTCAGATCAAGAAATATTACCAAGTGCCACACAGTGAGGCAGATGTTGAGCATTCACTGAAGTCTGGCAGATAGTCATCATACATTCAGCGTTAAAATAGATGGAATCAAAGTAGAGCAGGATAAAAAGAAAAATAATGCGAGGAAGGGAAAGAGATGATGCAAGGAGATCTGGATATGGCAGAGGAAATAAAGGGAGTAGAAGAGAAAGTAAGAAGAGATGAAGAAGATACATACAAATTTAGAGGTTAAATAAGACCACTTTTACTTTCCCTAGGACTATTTTAGGCTGGATCGACTGGGAGCCTGATATTGAGATGGGAGGGGGGGGGGGGGAAATAATAATATAAAATATCCTTTATTTTTCATTATTTTAAATTTGGATGTAAAAGTAATGATTGCAATATAAATCAGTTGACTGCTGAGTTGTTGAATATTTTTGAATAATTTCAGATGATTTATTTTATGAATCTAGAAAAAATATTTTATTGTGGCCTTTTTTAAAATTAACTGATTAAACATAAAAAATACAGAAATGCTGTCAGCTTGAGTGAGCATTGGTTAGTTGGCAGAGACAGAAGGTAACTTGTCTGTGTGTTAGTGTTTGTATCTATCTCTCTTGTCAGCTTTTCAACTTCATGTGTCCCTTCAAAGCACAACCTGATTCCCCATGGCGACTGTACCTGAACAAGCATGTTGTCCAGGGCAAATAAAGAACAAGTCTGATGTTTTGGGTCAAAAGAAGCAAATATGGCAGCTGACATGTGAACAACACAACGTGCCAACCATTTTTTCTTGGGGGGAAAGAATATCCCCAGAGGTATAAGTCCCACACCCAACTAATCTTTTCCTACCTTACAAAGCTTACACCCCTTCCCCCCCCCCCCTTTTTCCCCCCCACACTATCCTTTTAACTTTAGTCCCCAGCCACCATGTTTCATGCAGGAGCTGTGTGATATAATGACTAGATCAGATTCACAACCCAATGGTCGCATCCCTGTTAGGGGTCACAACGGGTTTTGTGTAGTATCGCTGGCCAATAAAGCAAGCTATGAAAATGTTTAATACGGAAAAAGGGGGGGGGGGGGTATCACCTTATTATAGCTAACATATATATTTATATTTCATGAAAGACTGCGGACTCAATTCTGGTGGTCTATACAGTCTATCATAGACAGTAAACGGTCATGTTCAAAATCACCATGCTTGGGTTTGACTCCGAGAGTCAAATGTTCAACAAGAAACGAATTCAGTGCCGAGAATGACATGATTTTGGCAGTTGGGGAAAATACGTCAGCTGCAAATTTGTCAGCTTGTTAATCAGTTAAAATGTCAGTTATCACTTTAAGTATGTTGTAGGTTAAGATTATTTTGAATTATATTATACTGACAAATCTTATTGTCCGTGTGTTTTCATATGCCCTATTATAAAGCCAGTGTTTATTGTAAAGAGGTAACTTTGCCTTTATAATTTATTGCACCCCCCCCCCCCCACCTTTAACAACAAGTTAAGATTTCATAACTCCGATGACACCAGTGACTGACTCTCATTGTATATTCATCTCACCATTTCCCATCCCCTAGTTGATTCTTATTGCATCATTCTTTTACCTCCGTGAACATAACGCAGATTTCCCCATTTACACTGTGTGACCCTCATTCAGTCGGCTCTGTGGCTAAGTCGATGCGAACGCTTCGCTTCGTAATGCCGGGTTCGATCCCAGCTGTGGACAATGCGCCTTGCGTTGGTTTCGACAGTGGTATCAAGAAAGCCGACCGTCCAGTAAGCAATGGCAAACTACTGGATGTAAATTGCCTAGAGAAACCAAACAACAGCCAAGGGCTGTTAGGGTTGGTTCTGCAACGTCCTGTAAAGGACACGCAACTAACAGAAAGAAAGAAAGACCCTCATTCATGGGTGTGAGTTTGGATCTTCCTGAGACAAGGTATATTTCTGCGCTGTGTGTCTTCACTCATGTGTTTCGTTTAGGTTATTGTGAGAGTAATTGCAACCACCGGCAGAGCATTTTTCTTTGTTTTGACACGCTGTTTTGTAAGCAGACATGAATTTTCTCGAGCTTTCACCTTTAAGTGCCGGCATGCAGAGGAGAGTTCTTTTTCTGCACGAGCACAGCATCTTACTGTCAGCCAGACGCTGTTCCAACGATCATCTTATATAACTGTCTCTGACTGGTCATGAGGATTGTTGAAGATGCTGGCACAGCAAAGGGTATTTGGTGGCATCTGTCGGGAGAGGCTACTTCTGTGTTGCCGACAAAACAGCAGAGACACTTTCTGTCTATCATAAGGACATGCATTCGTCTTGGCACACTGTCGCGTGCATACGATGAGTTGGGGATATACCAAGATTTAACTCATATCATGGTCAACCACTCAGAATTGTGTGGTCCTGACACCAGGTGGCACATACTCGGTGAATTGAACCGTTGTGAACGGCTAAGGAGAGAAACAAGAGGCAGCACGGCACGCAGAGATATCTTCTGGAGTCATACATGTACGAAATCACGTCGTGAAGACGCACTCAATCTGCGGGCTTTGATCCGTTTAAAACTATTCTTTCCGACCTTGCTCTCTTCTGGCCGTCACAACAGCAATAATTTATAATTACAGTCGCTTAGGTCGCTGCTGCGAGGAAAAAAACTGCTTGTTCAGATTCGGCTAGTCCTGTCATTAGATGACATCTTCAGATAAACTAACAGAAAATGCAGGAGGCTTGACTTCTGTGCTAGTAGGACACTAAAATGTATCCACCCACCTGAGTGCCGGTCCTTTGCAGGACTAGCTAGTGCGCGGTTTCAGTCAAGATTGCCGTCTTAGGCTCCTTTTAGGGAAGGTTTAGAATAGTTTTGTAACGACGAGCCTACGTTGCAGGCTGGGGGGGGGGGGGGGGGGTGAGGGTTAGTACCCGTTGGAAATTATCGGGGTCAGTCACTCGGCAGTTATGGGACTAGGCGGGCGGACAGAATTGCACCCCCACCCCGACGTAGACGCGCCTGAGAAAGTATGAATGAAGGGTCACATACTGTGTACATGGGGAGATTTCCATAATGTTTAACCTTTTCCCTCTTATATGTGGTCACAGAGTATGTTCATTGTCCACCTGTTTCTTCAACAGCAAATCACACCTGAGTTAGTTTTCAAAGTAATCAACTCCTCTTCCTTTATGAACTGATGAACCTGGTTTCGAAAGAGTTAAATCGTACCTCAGAGTCAACATTATGCTAACTGTCTTTACCCAACTCAGACTGGGTCGGCCTGTGAGCCAAAGCTATTTAGTGGTGGTATTCGGCTTTTCAGAACGGTGCAGAACCAACCCATGCATTGTTAGGCAGTATTTTTTTTAAAATTATTAACAGGAGAAGTCAGAAGGCAATACAAGGATTAAACCGCGTTAAAAGTAGATGGTAAAGAACTAAGAAAGTTACAGCTTGGAGAGCCTGCATCTTCCCTGTAGCAACATTCATGTGAGTCATTGCTTATCTCCCATCTTCTCTGTAGCAACATTCATGTGAGTCATGGACTATCTCCCATCTTCCCTGTAGCAACATTCATGTGAGTCATGGACTATCTCCCATCTTCCCTGTAGCAACATTCATGTGAGTCATGGACTATCTCCCATCTTCCCTGTAGCAACATTCATGTGAGTCATGGACTATCTCCCATCTTCCCTCTAGCAACATTCATGTGAGTCATTGACTATCTCCCATCTTCCCTGTAGCAACATTCATGTGAGTCATGGACTATCTCCCATCTTCCCTGTAGCAACATTCATGTGAGTCATTGCTTATCTCCCATCTTCCCTGTAGCAACATTCATGTGAGTCATTGCTTATCTCCCATCTTCCCTGTAGCAACATTCATGTGAGTCATTGCTTATCTCCCATCTTCCCTGCAGCAACATTCATGTGAGTCATTGCTTATCTCCCATCTTCCCTGCAGCAACATTCATGTGAGTCATTGCTTATCTCCCATCTTCCCTGGAGCAACATTCATGTGAGTCATTGCTTATCTCCCATCTTCCCTGGAGCAACATTCATGTGAGTCATGGACTATCTCCCATCTTCCCTGTAGCAACATACGGATGCGAGTCGTGGACTATCTCCCATCTTCCCTGTAGCAACATACGGATGCGAGTCGTGGACTATCTCCCATCTTCCCTGTAGCAACATTCATGTGAGTCATTGCTTATCTCCCATCTTCCCTGGAGCAACATTCATGTGAGTCATGGACTATCTCCCATCTTCCCTGTAGCAACATTCATGTGAGTCATTGCTTATCTCCCATCTTCCCTGCAGCAACATTCATGTGAGTCATTGCTTATCTCCCATCTTCCCTGTAGCAACATTCATGTGAGTCATTGCTTATCTCCCATCTTCCCTGTAGCAACATTCATGTGAGTCATTGCTTATCTCCCATCTTCCCTGTAGCAACATTCATGTGAGTCATTGCTTATCTCCCATCTTCCCTGTAGCAACATTCATGTGAGTCATGGACTATCTCCCATCTTCCCTGTAGCAACATTCATGTGAGTCATGGACTATCTCCCATCTTCCCTGTAGCAACATTCATGTGAGTCATTGCTTATCTCCCATCTTCCCTGTAGCAACATTCATGTGAGTCATTGCTTATCTCCCATCTTCCCTGCAGCAACATTCATGTGAGTCATTGCTTATCTCCCATCTTCCCTGCAGCAACATTCATGTGAGTCATTGCTTATCTCCCATCTTCCCTGTAGCAACATTCATGTGAGTCATTGCTTATCTCCCATCTTCCCTGGAGCAACATTCATGTGAGTCATTGCTTATCTCCCATCTTCCCTGTAGCAACATTCATGTGAGTCATGGACTATCTCCCATCCTCCCTGTAGCAACATTCATGTGAGTCGTGGACTATCTCCCATCTTCCCTGTAGCAACATACGGATGCGAGTCGTGGACTATCTCCCATCTTCCCTGTAGCAACATTCATGTGAGTCATTGCTTATCTCCCATCTTCCCTGGAGCAACATTCATGTGAGTCATGGACTATCTCCCATCTTCCCTGTAGCAACATTCATGTGAGTCATTGCTTATCTCCCATCTTCCCTGCAGCAACATTCATGTGAGTCATTGCTTATCTCCCATCTTCCCTGTAGCAACATTCATGTGAGTCATTGCTTATCTCCCATCTTCCCTGTAGCAACATTCATGTGAGTCATTGCTTATCTCCCATCTTCCCTGTAGCAACATTCATGTGAGTCATTGCTTATCTCCCATCTTCCCTGTAGCAACATTCATGTGAGTCATTGCTTATCTCCCATCTTCCCTGTAGCAACATTCATGTGAGTCATTGCTTATCTCCCATCTTCCCTGTAGCAACATTCATGTGAGTCATTGCTTATCTCCCATCTTCCCTGTAGCAACATTCATGTGAGTCATTGCTTATCTCCCATCTTCCCTGGAGCAACATTCATGTGAGTCATTGCTTATCTCCCATCTTCCCTGTAGCAACATTCATGTGAGTCGTGGACTATCTCCCATCTTCCCTGGAGCAACATTCATGTGAGTCGTGGACTATCTCCCATCTTCCCTGTAGCAACATTCATGTGAGTCATTGCTTATCTCCCATCTTCCCTGGAGCAACATTCATGTGAGTCATTGCTTATCTCCCATCTTCCCTGGAGCAACATTCATGTGAGTCATTGCTTATCTCCCATCTTCCCTGTAGCAACATTCATGTGAGTCATTGCTTATCTCCCATCTTCCCTGCAGCAACATTCATGTGAGTCATTGCTTATCTCCCATCTTCCCTGTAGCAACATTCATGTGAGTCATTGCTTATCTCCCATCTTCCCTGTAGCAACATTCATGTGAGTCATTGCTTATCTCCCATCTTCCCTGTAGCAACATTCATGTGAGTCATTGCTTATCTCCCATCTTCCCTGTAGCAACATTCATGTGAGTCATTGCTTATCTCCCATCTTCCCTGTAGCAACATTCATGTGAGTCATTGCTTATCTCCCATCTTCCCTGTAGCAACATTCATGTGAGTCATTGCTTATCTCCCATCTTCCCTGTAGCAACATTCATGTGAGTCATTGCTTATCTCCCATCTTCCCTGTAGCAACAATTATGTGAGTCATTGCTTATCTCCCATCTTCCCTGTAGCAACATTCATGTGAGTCATGGACTATCTCCCATCTTCCCTGTAGCAACATTCATGTGAGTCATTGCTTATCTCCCATCTTCCCTGTAGCAACATACGGATGCGAGTCGTGGACTATCTCCCATCTTCCCTGTAGCAACATACATGCGAGTCATGGACTATCTCCCATCTTCCCTGGAGCAACATACGGATGTGAGTCGTGGACTATCTCCCATCTTCCCTGTAGCAACATACGGATGTGAGTCGTGGACTATCTCCCATCTTCCCTGTAGCAACATACACGTGAGTCATGGACTATCTCCCTTCTTCCCTGTAGCAACATACGGATGTGAGTCGTGGACTATCTCACATCTTCCCTGGAGCAACATACATGTGAGACATGGACTTATCTCCATGACTAAGGAAGAAAATAGCTTGAGCTGAAATGCTATAAAAAATAATGTTGGAATGCCATGAACCAAGAAGACAAATACTGACACTGAGACAGGAACAAGGAAGACTGATAATTAGTCCATGGCGGACTGAAAAAAAAAAAAGCCACAAAGCATGTTACCAGGAAGGAGGAGCAGGTCCCGACCAACTCGAAGGTGGGCACACAGTGTAGAAGACCTCGTATATTAAAGTGCATGAGGCGGGAAAGCGGACGAGAGTTTCTTTCAGGCAGACCGAGATGAGAGTGACGTTCTGCAAAAGACCTGCCATTTGATGATGACGATGAGTTTAACAAGTCCGTAAAACACTCAATCTAATTTTAATCTGATGTTTTCATCTGGAACTAAAATAGACACGACCAGGCAACGTTTTATTACAGGCATGGAAACGTATCAGAGAGTTGGCGGTGCACATGAAAATTAGTATTATTACAACAGTTAGTAAAGGGACTTGTTTACACCTTCAGACGAACTGGGCAAATAGGGCTGGAGCCTGATTTTATAGACCAATCGGCACATGGTGGGTCATAGGGGCAGCATCACACACCAGCCACCTTTACTTCCCTGGACTTTTACCTTGTACCCATTTCAGAATAGGTCGATCTGGGAGCCAAACGTTTTTGAAAAAACTCCAGCGCCATCCGGATTTGAAACCATGACCTGATCCTCAGACAGGCGTCTAGTCGCTACACCACATCAGGTCCTATTATAACAGTTAGGATAACATTGACATTAACAATATAACAGGATAACATTGACATTAACAATATAACAGTTAGGATAACATTGAAATTAACAATATAACAAATTGGAACCATACGCTGAAATGTTTCCCATAAGTACTGGATAACGTACAACGCCATACCACACAAGGGCATATACCAAAAAGATAGAAGAACAGCAAGTGATAGACCAATGACAATATGGAAAGATCATAAGCTACAGCAGCATGACATGTCTTTATGGTCGAAATGACAAGAAGAGCAAGAAATAGAACCTTATCACACTCGACACCCGAAGCGGTACAAGAAGTGAAGAAGATGCGATAGGTATATCGCAAAATGAAATGTAAAAAGGACATGTGTTTATGCCTTCAGGCAAATTGGATTAGTGACCAATCGGCACATGGTGGCTGATGTGTTCAGCATCACAGCGGTCGCCCCCACCCCCGAACTTTTACACCTGGCGGCGACCGGGTGACGAACTTATGGTCCGGGTTCACGCCTAGGGGTAGCTTGAAAAGCCACGTTCCTCCCAGATTTACAGTATCTATCATGGAATTAAGGCTGAAAGGTTGCGATATCCAAAGTACTGAGCAAAAGGGTTTACAACTCATGGTTTCTAGAATACCTTTGAGAGCAATGAGAAACTTGACGCACACACTAACACTGGTCTCTGTGAAATGGTACATTAGGACTGTAGGGAGAAAAATCTGGCTATACTCCTAGCGGATACAGGCGGTGTTTTTTTTTTTTTTTTGGAACAAGGAAAATTTTCAAGTCTTCTTTGAAGAAATGTAAATCTTGGACCCAGGAGACTCCCAATCAACCAGTAAACCAACAAATTTAGCCGTCCATCCAACCAGCCTATGTAATATAATTATGAAACATTCGCTTATAAAAGACGAATAAATGAAGCAATGAATAACTACCCCCTACATATTACCACGCCCTTCTCTAATTATATAAATCTGGAGCTGGCCGTGATATTACATTACCCATGTAACCATACTTTTTTCTGCCAGTTTGCAGTAACATTTTATGCATTTTATTTTACAACTGTTAAAAAACCTGGTCAGAGTAGACAAAAAGCATTTTCTGAAATTCAAAGAAATAACACACTGCCCGTTGCGTTACCAGTGGCTTCATACAATGCGACAGTGCATGTATACTATACGTGCGACAAAGCTCTTAAGAATTCATAGGCGTTTAAAATTAAGGCTGACATTTGATGAAGCCAGGGAACAAAAATATCAAGTTTATAGAAAAGAATTACACGTGTGATTGTATCATGCACACGTGCTCACACCACAAGCTGACGTGTGATGTGTTCTGAAAGCCTCTGCGCTGTATACCTTCGAGCCCTCGTATGATTTTCTTATATCCGCACAAAAGAAAATTACATTTCATAGATTTATACAGAAAAGTTAAAATTCAGATAATTTGATTTGCAGAGGAAAGTAAACATTGCTGATTTACACATACATAAGAACATTTGCACAGTTGTCAACATTTTACATATTTTTTTACAATAAAGTTAACATTCAGATAGGATGTCAGATGAGCACAGAAGAAAAGTTATATTTTCATATTTTAAAAAAAGTTAGCATTTATATATGGTTTTCTCAGAATCGCCAGAAAAAATGTTAACCTTCGTGTAATTAGATTTGTACACAAGTTAACGATTGTATAAGTTTTCTAGATTTGCCTAAATTGAATTGGATTCACCTGCCCCCACCCCCCCCCCCCACCCCCCTTCCCCCCGGTCAGATACGCATATAAATATAAACAATATATAGACTTCCATTTTCAGATTTGTAGAAAATAGAGTAGTTGTTTCCTCAGTATAACAAAAAGTATAAAATGTAGATATAAATTTATGACGATACGTGAAGAAGTACAAATACATTCTCTTTGGTTTGTACAAAACTCAAGATTCAAAATTCATAATCTAAAGAAAATATATAAAATGAAAATCAAACACTACTTCGTTATGAAGCTTTTAGACAAAGTAAAGTGCCCGCCTTGCTTGAGTTATGTCTTTGGTTCGCATCCTTCAGGGGTGAAGTCACCATAATTAAAAATCAACACTTGATATTCCTTTGTGGTAACTGCCAGTTCGGGACGAACAGGATGCAAGGCGACATTATAACAGTTGGCGTGTTTAGCTCGGGATTTGAACGCTGCCAGAACCCTTCCATCGTGGCCAAAGATGGTGATGTTAAACGTGTTGTGGTTGTCTGTCACAACAAGGTAATCATTGCAGTTAAACCCTACGCTGATGGGGTAATAGGTTAAACTTTCGTTGCCAAATGTCTTCCTATAGTTGAGTGAATAGTCGAATGTCTTTACACAGTGGCTTCTGTTGTCGCTAATGTAAATGGTATCTCCTTTAGCAGCGACGTCGTTTGGAAATTCTAGAGATCCAAGCACCGATTTATTAATCAGGTCTCCATCGGGAGTGAAAATGAAAAAATTCATAGTCTTACTTTCCAGAATGAGGATCAAGCCTCTTGTGTCGACGGTAATCCCACGTGGACTTTGCAGGTGAGGGCTTCCGAAAGATCTGATAAATTGCCCCTCGAAGCTGAATATCTGAATATTGAGGCTCGGCGGCCGCTCCAGCACGACGAGGTTCCCAGTAAGTGGACATTGTGCCATTCTGTAAGGAAAGTAAAGCTTGCCAAAGATTCGAGGAAATGTTTTATCTGCTTCTTCAGAAGGCGGGGGGAGATCAGGAATGACCTTAGGCTGGCCAATGGTTCTTAAGTGAGTTCCATCTTCGGTGTATATCACGATTCGATGGTTCCTGGTGTCACAAACAGCCAGCGTGCAGTCATGAAGGTATAGTACTCCACTGGGTTCCGCAAATTCATAAGTTCCACGACCATATCGTCCAAAAATTCTGCTATATTGAACTGTCTGTCTCTGAATGTCTTGGATACCAGCGTCTTTTTCAGCACCAGCGGAAGTCTCAATGCCGGAAAACTGTTGCCCTTGTCTGTCGGCTGTTTCTGATTGGAATCTGTAGTCTAGACTGTATGGCGCTGGTTGATAGGGCTCAACGTGATGCCTGTCGCGTACACATTGAGAATTCAGTAAAGTGCGATTCAAATAGTAATCACACTCTAATTGCACAGACGTGAATATTTCTTCAATTGCATGATTTACTTCAGGATATTTAGGCTCAAATTTGAAGTTAAAATCCAACGTCAATAAATAAGGGTTACGTCTAAGTTTGTCGTCCAGATACCTTTTCCTTTCGCCGACCGTCGGTAGTAACATCATTTTATCCAAATTTGACGACTCATTGAATCGTTCCACAAAAGCCATGAATGCTGCTTTCTCCTTCAAGTATTTATCCCTTTCAGCTGCAGCCTCGATGTGAATATGGTGAACCCTATTACAAATTCGTTCAACTTCATCACGAGCGATTCTTGCCAGGTATTCAATTTTTTCAGTGAGATTCCTGTTGATTTCACTAATAATATGCCGACCAGCTTTGTGAATTGCTTCAATTTCTTGTTTAGTTTTTTTCAACTCCATGAGCAGTCTATGGTACCGGACACTCAATTCTTGGACGTATCCATTGTTGGTTTTTACTCTTTGTCCGATTATCACTTTGGCGTCGCTGAGTTCAAGTATTTCGTGAGAGTTATGATCCCTGTCCAGACAGAGGTTACAGATGCCCGACCAGCATGTCCTGCAGAACTTGACCATACCATTTCCAGGATGTTTTCTGCACATGACAAGGATCTGTCCATCAGGGGTCGCACCAATCTTCGTGTCTGTGTTCTCAAGCTTGTGCTGCGAGGATGATTTGCTTTGGTCGTGGAGGAGACAGCATTGCTGACACAAATATACCAAACAATCTGTACAGAAATTGACGGCATCCTCGTAACTGACACAGTTTGTGCAACAAAATGGCGACAAATTTGCTTCAAGCATTTCCCGCGCAAAAGGCATGTCTATTGGCAGCGAACAGGGTCCAAACGGGGAATTTTTCGGTGGCAAAGAACAACATAAACAGATCGGGCAGGTAAAGAAGTTTCGATCTTTGCGATACAGTTTTACTATGCAAGGGAAACAAAATCTATGGCAGCAATGAAGAATGTGCGGCCACCGGTATCTTTCATGACATTTTGGACAAAGTTCTTCTCCGAGCTGTATCAGTTTCTGTCGAGACCCCAGATCTTTTTCTTGCATAGTTCTTTGATAAAAGGAACGAACTCGGCTCTGCCAAGTCTCGGCAGTGCGCGTTACCCCGGTGGAGACAGAACTTACATCCCAGGCATCAGAAGAAGCAACAGCAGATAACTGAAACGGGGAACAAGCAATCATTTCCATGATGAACTGGGGTTGCAAACGAACCGCACCCATGTAGATGTCGTTGACTGGCTCCCCATTTCGATAAACGACATACTCTAGGAGCTCAGCTAGTTCAAAGTTATCTTTAACGCCTTTCAGAACAAGGAAGTAAGGATCTCCGAAAGCATCTTCTGCTTCTTGGAAGGCCACCTGCAGGTCACGCTCATAGGTGGCTTCTTTGAGAGACTCGGAATCGTTTGACTCTTGACGTTTCACTACCTTAAGTGTGTTTTCTGTTTCCAGCTGAATTATAAAGTTTGAGTCGTGATCTTGTTTTTGTTGACGTTCTTTGATGGCTTTAGCACGTTCTATAGATTTAGATTGTTGAATTCTACCTCTCTGGGGTGTATCCTGCTCTCTGATGTTTGAATCAAAGCAGTGTCCCTTCTGGAGCGGCTTCTTAGGATCATGCTCTTTGTCACTCTTGTCAGCTTTTTCTTTTGGGCTCTTTTCGTGTACTTTAGGTTTTCTCACCTTTGAACGCACATAAGAATCGCCAAGAAATGGCTGGAAAGCTTGAACGGGGTCACTGACGTGTGAAAAAACAGCTGGCTCAGACGCCTGCGCCGAGTCTTGTCTTGCCCTTCTTTGGTCAAGATTTGGAAAAACCAGCTGCTCTGGTGAGACATGTCCTGCACCTTCTACAGGTGGTTCCACTTCAGAACTCGGAGCAAGCAAGTCATCCATATACATCCTGAACATCTTATGGGCCGCCAGAGAATCTTCAAGTTCCATAACTGTTTCATAACCTGTAGCCTGTAGAAAACGACACACAAACAGAACCATATCGTCTGTCACCATTTCTCCTTGCAAAAGATTACATCGAACATTCTTCAAAATATTCACAAGATCGTCAAGATCGTCCAGATTTACCTGCGAATTACCTAGAACGTCCTGGTACTTCCATTTGATCAACATCTGAAGTTCGTCATCCAACATAGAATAGAATGAAGGGTCCAAGTTGCTTAGCGTCATGATGCTGTTTATTTTTGGCCGGCGAGAGCGGCTCAATGGTCTTGACCTAGACTTGGGTTCTTCTGGATACAAGCTGTCAATAGCAGAGTCAATGATGGATGCAATGCTGGTTGCGCGAGAAGCCCGGGCGCTTCTTGTCTGTTCAGTTGAAGACCCTTCAGAGTCGCTACTTTGTCTTTCTGCTGTGTTTATGTTCTGAGGAGTAGCCGCAGGATGTGTTGCCAAGCTTTGGCCGTCACTTGTCTTGGCGTTTTCTCCCATGTGTAGTTTGACCAACTTATCCATTTCTGCAAAGACATGTAAACAGTAACAATGATTAAGGATTAAGGGAAAATGCAGTAAGTTTACTGTATGGACTATCTCAGCATCTTGTCTCGGAAACTGGCTTTTATGTGCCACGGTGAGTTGGAAAGAATAGCAGATGCCATGTTACCAAGAAACAGACAGGGGCCGACCAGAACACCAATGGGCATATAAGTGACATCTTGGGTAGGAAGGTACACGAAGCGAGAGAGATAGCAAGAAACCAAGTTTATCTGAGGCAGACTATGATGTGAACGACAACGTGCAAAGGACCTGCTACATGGTGACGATATATAATTTATCTCTACAAATACAGAAGCAAATTTAAAGGAATCTAAAAACCAATTTAAAAAAAAAAAAAAAAAAAAAACTGGTAAGAATTAAAGACAGGTACAGAATCAGAAATGTTTGCACAACTGAATCAAATAAATCGGTTAAATGTGGCGACTGATTATGCACATCCTTTGGAGAAGCGGGCATAGAACCGACACACACTAAACTGGAAAGCTTAATACCCCATGGCTTGTGAAACACAGACGCTTGTGAAACACGAGGCCAACAGCGCTGATTGGAAAAGATTACATGTGACACAAAGAAATGCAAGAATAGACTGGGATACATTCGAATGCAACAGAATCTGGAGAACGAACTAACAAACTTATTTGCAAAGGTTAATATATAATTTGTCACACAGATCCATTTAACACTGCCCTCACAGTTTAACTTCTAGCATACAGTTATACCTTCAGAAATTTTGTAAGTAAAAACGTTCATAGTTTTAAACACTCATGCAGCACACAACGCAGACATACTGAAGGCAGAAAAACAGGAGGCAGTGAAACACAGAAGACACACGGAGGCGTGCATACTGGCAACACACACCTATACAACATTACTCAAAGAGAACACATACATACAAAAAAGATACACTACACGCACAACCACACACACACACATACAGAGACAGAAGAGCGGATGAGAGAGAACATGCATAAAGAGGTGTCGCCCACCAGCTGTGAAAACCATACAGGCAGCAAAGAAGAATTGCAAACCAATACAGAAGAATTATCAGTCGCCCTACGCTGGGGCAGATACTGAAGATAGGATCCGATCCCTTTAATGGCTTCTCCGATGTGCTGTTAGAATGATCACTCCGTTAGTTAACCAACTAACCTTTGATGTAATCTTTATGTACTTTCATTGACATAGTTACTATAAAGAATTGCATTGAAAACTTTAGAGCAAAGAGCAAGTCTGCAGGGGAGAGAATGGAAAGGCGTGACGATTACCCGGGATCTATCTGGCTGTCCAATCCAGACGGCTACTTAAATGTTTACCATACGATCCGAAGTCTTAAAAAATCTGGACTACAGACCAACCAGGCAGATCCCAGATACCCAGTTTAACCTCCAAATACAACCTTAACGGCAGGATTGCACTCTGTTACATTAATATCTCAAGGATGAAAATCCTGTAAGAATCTTGGAAATCCCGTTAAACCTTTCAGCCATATCTGGATCAGTCAGCAGATCTTTCACACAACGTCGTTCTTGTCACAGTTTGCATGAAATTCTCCAGCCAATTTACCAGCCCAAAGTGCTTTTATAGCTAATCCATTAATAAATTTTCTAAAAGAAATACTTGATCAAAAATATAGACTTACCTTCGCCCATAAATCTTGCCTTTGCATTCGACATTTGATCTGTGAACTCATTCATAAGACCTGTGTGAAACTGCACATTGCTGGCTTCAAATTCCGCCACACACTGTTTCATTTCCTCGCATCTTATGCTCTCACCTGGTAGATGATCATGAGTGCAATATTTACAGACTGATACTTCTGGGGAATTAGTGTCCGGTGCTCCAGATGGCTCTGTTGATGGAGTTTGTGTTTCAACAGGAATGGCATTTTTGTTGCCGATTTCTGAGTCCGGGTGGCCTGTTGGCAAGTTGTCAGGATTTGCTTGGGCAGGAGTTGGATCTGTCTCGTTGGTAGAAGAGCCCGTTTGGGAGGCGGGAGAACTAGCGACCGGAGAGCCTCTATCTGCAGGAGATACTCTAAATGCTGGATAGCCTCGTGAGACCGAAGAACCTCTGGTACCCGGAGAGCCTCTGGCGGCGGGAGAGCCTCTGGCGGCGGGAGAGCCTCTGGCGGCGGGAGAGCCTCTGGCGGCGGGAGAGCCTCTGGCGGCGGGAGAGCCTCTGGCGGCGGGAGAGCCTCTGGCGGCGGGAGAGCCTCTGGCGGCGGGAGAGCCTCTGGCGGCGGGAGAGCCTCTGGCGGCGGGAGAGCCTCTGGCGGCGGGAGAGCCTCTGGTGGCGGGAGAGCCTCTGGTGGCGGGAGAGCCTCTGGCGGCGGGAGAGCCTCTGGTGGCGGAAGAATCACTGGTACCGGAAAAGCCTCTGTTACGGGAAAAGCCTCTTGTACCGGAAGAGTCTTTGGTGGCAGGAGAACCTCTAGCTGCGGGAGAACCTCTGGTGGCAGGACAGCCCATGGTAGCAGGTGAAATCTTGTTAGTAGAAGAACCTTCGTTAGCAGCTGGTGAAAGTTTAGTTGCAGAAACCACCTTAGCGGCCGGGGAACCCACCTTAGCAGCCGGGGAACCCACCTTAGGGACCGGGGAACCCACCTTAGGGACCGGGGAACCCACCTTAGCGGCCGGGGAACCCACCTTAATGGCCGGGGAACCCGCCTTAGTGGCCGGGGAAACCACCTTAGTGGCTGGGGAAACCACCTTAGTGGCCGTGGAAACCACCTTAGTGGCTGGGGAACCAATCTTAGTCGCCGTGGAACCCACCTTGGTGGATAATTTAGCTGGAGAGCCGACCTTGGTGGTTAGGGAACTCACATTGGTAGGTAGAGATAGTTTAGCAGGAGAAACCACCTTGGTAGCTGGAAATAGTTTAGCAGGAGAGCCAATCTTGGTGGACGGGGAATCCACCTTTGTAGATGGAGAACCTGCCTTGACTGCGGGAGAACCCACCTTCTTAGCGGGAGATTCCATCTTGGCAGCGAGATATCCCGGCTTGGGAGAAATCTTGGTAATCGAAGGTTCAGCTTGAGTTGAAGACTTCGTCTGGCTAGTCGAAGGTCCTGCCTGAGTAACCAAAGACCCTGCCTGAAAAGCCGAAAATCCTGTCTGAGAAGCCGAAGACCCTGTCTGAGAAGCCGAAGATCCTGCTTGAGTAGCTAAAGATGCTGCCTGAGTAACCGAAGCAGCTGCCTGAATAGCCGAAAGATCCGCGTGAATAATCGAAGTAGCCGCTTGGGTAGCCGAAGAACACACCTGGGTGACAAGACCATTTGGTTCTTTAGAACTGTCTGGGCATTTAGATGTCGGTAAATCTATAGTTTCCAACGAGGTACATTTTCCGGCACTCTGACCACCTTCTGTTGTCTCCGTCTTTCCACCTGTGAGAGTACAGTTCAGAACGAGAACCATGTTAGCCATTGTTAGCACTACCCACTCATCTGTCTTAGCCCTACTGGTACTACCCACTCATCTGTCTTAGCCCCTGCTAGTACTACCCACTCATGTCTTAGCCCCTGCTGGTACTACCCACTCATGTCTTAGCCTCTGTTAGTACCACCCACTCATCTGTCTTAGCCCCTGCTGGTACCACCCACTCATCTGTCTTAGCCCCTGCTAGTACCACCCACTCATTTGTCTCAGCCCCTGCTAGTACTACCCACTCATCTGTCTTAGCCCCTGCTAGTACTACCCACTCCTCTGTCTTAGCCCCTGCTAGTAATACCCACTCCTCTGTCTTAGCCCCTGCTAGTACTACCCACTCCTCTGTCTTAGCCCCTGCTAGTACTACCCACTCCTGTCTCAGCCCCTGCTAGTACTACCCACTCCTCTGTCTCAGCCACTGCTAGTACTACCCACTCCTGTCTTAGCCACTGCTAGTACTACCCACTCCTGTCTTAGCCACTGCTAGTACTACCCACTCCTCTGTCTTAGTCCCTGCTAGTACTACCCACTCCTCTGTCTTAGTCCCTGCTAGTACTACCCACTCCTGTCTTAGCCCCTGCTAGTACTACCCACTCCTCTGTCTTAGCCTCTGCTAGTACTACCCACTCATCTGTCTTAGCCCCTGCTGTACTTATCTGCCTTTAGCCCCTGCTAGTACCCTGCTAGTACTACTACCCACTCCTCTGTCTTAGCCCCTCTGGTACTCTTACTCCTCTGTCTAGCCCTGTACTACCCCACTCATCTGTCTTAGCCCCTGCTAGTACTACCCACTCATCTGTCTTAGCCCCTGCTAGTACTACCCACTCATCTGTCTTAGCCCCTGCTAGTACTACCCACTCATCTGTCTTAGCCCCTGCTGGTACTACCCACTCTGTCTGTCTCTAGTACTACCCACCTGCTAGTACTAGTACTACCCACTCATCTGTCTTAGCCCCTGCTAGTACTACCCACTCATCTGTCTTAGCCCCTGCTAGTACTACCCACTCATCTGTCTTAGCCCCTGCTAGTACTACTTAGCCTCTGCTAGTACTCATCATCTGTCTTAGCCCCTGCTAGTACTACCCACTCATCTTAGTCTTACCCACTCCCCTGCTAGTACTACCCACTCATCTGTCTTAGCCCCTGCTAGTACTACCCACTCATTTGTCTTAGCCCCTTCTAGTAATACCTACTCATCTGTCTTAGCCCCTGCTAGTACTACCCACTCACCAGTCTTAGCCCCTGCTAGTAATACCTACTCATATGTCTTAGCCCGTGCTAGTACTCAGCCCCACTCACCTGTGGTATACTACCCACTCATCTTTCTAGTAATACCTACCACTCCTGCTAGTACTACCCACTCATCTGTCTTAGCCTCTGCTAGTACTACCCACTCATCTGTCTTAGCCTCTGCTAGTACTACCCACTCATCTGTCTTAGCCCCTGCTGGTACTACCCACTCATCTGTCTTAGCCTCTGCTAGTACTACCCACTCATCTGTCTCAGCCCCTGCTGATACTACCCACTCACTGCTGTCTTAACCCCTGCTGGTACTACCCCCTCATCTGTCTCAGCCCCTGCTAGTACTACTCATCCTGTACTACCCCTGCTGTCTTAGTACTACCTACTCATCTGTCTTAGCCCCTGCTGGTATTACTCATCTTTCTCAGCCCCTGCTGGTATTACTCATCTTTCTCAGCCCCTGCTGGTATTACCCTCATCTGTCATCTGCTAGTACTACTTCTCTGTCTTAGCCCCTACTGGTACCACCCACTCATCTGTCTTAGCCCTGCTAGTTTAGCACCTGCTGGTACTACCCACTCATCTGTCTTAGCCCCTGCTAGTACTACCCACTCATTTGTACTCTCATCTGTCTCAGCCCCTGCTGGTAGTGCTACCTACTCATCTGTCTTAGCCCCTGCTGGTACTACCCACTCATCTGTCTTAGCCCCTGCTATTACTACCCACTCATCTGTCTTAGCCCCTGCTAGTACTACCCACTCATCTGTCTCAGCCCCTGCTGGTACCACCCACTCACTCATCTAGTACTACCCACTCATCTGTCTTAGTACCACCCACTCATCTGTCTAGCCCCTGCTGTTACTTACTCTGTCTTAGCCCCTGCTAGTACTACCCACTCATCTGTCTTAGCCCCTGCTAGTACTACTCATCTGTCTTACCCACCCTGCTAGTACTACCCCCACTCATCTGTCTCAGCCCCTGCTGGTACCATCATCTGTCTTAGCCCTCATCTGTACTACCCACTCATCTGTCTAGCCCCTGCTAGTACTACCCACTCATCTGTCTTAGCCCCTGCTAGTACTAGCCACTCATCTGTCTTAGCCCCTGCTGGTACTACCCACTCATCTGTCTTAGCCCCTGCTAGTCTTAGCCCCTGCTACTACCCACTCATCTGTCTTAGCCCCTGCTAGTACTACCCACTCATCTGTCTTAGCCCCTGCTAGTACTACCCACTCATCTGTCTTAGCCCCTGCTAGTACTACCCACTCATCTGTCTTAGCCCCTGCTGGTATCTGTCTTAGCCCCTGCTGGTACCACTCATCTGTCTTAGCCCCTGCTAGTACTACCCACTCATCTGTCTTAGCCCCTGCTAGTACTAGCCTGTCTCTCCCTGCTAGTACCTGCTAGTACTACCACTCTCTGGTATCTGTCTTAGCCCCTGCTGGTACTACCCACTCATCTGTGGTACTACCACTCCCCTGCTAGTACTACCCACTCATTTGTCTAGCCTGCTAGTACTACCCACTCATCTGTCTTAGCCCCTGCTGGTACCCACTCCAGCCCCTGCTAGTACTACCCACTCATCTGTCTCAGCCCCAGCCACTCATCTGTCTTAGCCCCTGCTGTTACTACCCACTCATCTGTCTTTTAGCCCTGCTAGTACTACCCACTCATCTGCTCAGCCCCTACTGGTAGCCACTCATCTGTCTTAGCCCCTGCTGTTACTACCTACCTATCTGTCTTAGCCACTGCTAGTACTACCCACTCATCTGTCTTAGCCCCTGCTAGTACTACCCACTCATCTGTCTCAGCCCCTGCTGGTACCAGCCACTCATCTGTCTTAGCCCCTGCTGGTACTACCCATTCATCTGTCTTAGCCCCTGCTAGTACTACCCACTCCCACTCATCTGTCTTAGCCCCTGCTAGTACTACCCACTCATATGTCTTAGCCCCTGCTAGTACTACCCACTCATCTGTCTTAGCCCCTGCTAGTACTACCCACTCATCTGTCTTAGCTCCTGCTAGTACTACCCACTCATCTGTCTTAGCCCCTGCTAGTACTACCCACTCATCTGTCTTAGCCCCTGCTAGTACTACCCACTCACCAGTCTTAGCCCCTGCTAGTAATACCTACTCATATGTCTTAGCCCCTGCTAGTACTACCCACTCATCTGTCTTAGCCCCTGCTAGTACTACCCACTCATCTGTCTTAGCTTCTGCTAGTACTACCCACTCATCTGTCTTAGCCCCTGCTGGTACTACCCACTCATCTGTCTTAGCCCCTGCTAGTACTACCCACTCATCTGTCTTAGCCCCTGCTAGTACTACCCACTCACCTTTCTCAGCCCCTGCTGATACTACCCACTCACCTGTCTTAACCCCTGCTGGTACTACCCCCTCATCTGTCTCAGTCCCTGCTAGTACTACCTCCCTGCTAGTACTACCTACTCATCTGTCTTAGCCCCTGCTGGTATTACTCATCTTTCTCAGCCCCTGCTGGTATTACCCACTCATCTTTCTCCGCCCCTACTGGTACCACCCACTCATCTGTTTTAGCACCTGCTGGTACTACCCACTCATCTGTCTCAGCCCCTGCCGGTACCACCCACTCATCTGTCTTAGCCCTTGTTAGTACTACCCACTCATTTGTCTCAGCCCTTGTTAGTACTACCCACTCATTTGTCTCAGCCCCTGGTAGTGCTACCTACTCATCTGTCTTAGCCCCTGCTGGTACTACCCACTCATCTGTCTTAGCCCCTGCTAGTACTACCCACTCATCTGTCTTAGCCCCTGCTAGTACTACCCACTCATTTGTCTCAGCCCCTGCTGGTATTACCCACTCATCTTTCTCAGCCCCTGCTGGTACCAGCCACTCATCTGTCTTAGCCCCTGCTGTTACTACCTACCTATCTGTCTTAGCCCCTGCTAGTACTACCCACTCATCTGTCTCAGCCCCTGCTGGTACCAGCCACTCATCTGTCTCAGCCCCTGCTGGTACCAGCCACTCATCTGTCTTAGCCCCTGCTGTTACTACCTACTTATCTGTCTTAGCCACTGCTAGTACTACCCACTCATCTGTCTTAGCCCCTGCTAGTACTACCCACTCATCTGTCTCAGCCCCTGCTGGTACCAGCCACTCATCTGTCTCAGCCCCTGCTGGTACCAGCCACTCATCTGTCTTAGCCCCTGCTGTTACTACCTACCTATCTGTCTTAGCCACTGCTAGTACTACCCACTCATCTGTCTTAGCCCCTGCTAGTACTACCCACTCATCTGTCTCAGCCCCTGCTGGTACCAGCCACTCATCTGTCTTAGCCCCTGCTGTTACTACCTACCTATCTGTCTTAGCCCCTGCTAGTAGTACCCACTCCCACTCATCTGTCTCAGCCCCTGCTGGTACCAGCCACATATCTGTCTTAGCCCCTGCTGTTACTACCTACTTATCTGTCTCAGCCCCTGCTAGTACTACCCACTCATCTGTCTTAGCCCCTGCTAGTAGTACCCACTCATCTGTCCTGATCAACACTCATACTAACAGGTATATCAGAATTTAACCAACCACCTACCTCAGTCAGTTCTTATTCTAAACCACTCGTCTATCCTAGGAACTACTCGTATTACCCGATTGCTTATCCCAATCATTTGTACACAACCATTTATCTATCCCAATCATATGTACACTAAACAATTTATCTATCCCAATCATTTGTACACTATACCATTTATCTATCCCAATTATTTGTACACTAAACCATTCATCTATCCCAATCACGTTTACACTAAATTTATCTATCCCAATCATTTGTACACTATACCATTTATCTATCCCAATCATTTGTACACTAAAACTATTTATCTATCCCATCATGTTTACACTAAACAATTTATCTATCCCAATCATTTGTACACTATACCATTTATCTATCCCAATCATTTGTACACTAAACAATTCATCTATCCCAATCATGTGTACACTAAACAATTTATCTATCCCAATCATGTTTACACTAAACCATTTATCTATCCCAATCATTTGTACACTAAACAATTCATCTATCCCAATCATTTTTACACTAAACCATCTATCCCAATCATGTTTACACCAAACCATTTTTCTATCCCAATCATGTTTACACCAAACCATTTATCTATCCCAATCATGTTTACACCAAACCATTTATCTATCCCAATCATGTTTACACCAAACCATTTATCTATCCCAATCATGTTTACACCAAACCATTATCTATCCCAATCATTTGTACACTAAACCATTTATCTATCCCAATCATGTTTACACCAAACCATTTATCTATCCCAATCATTTTTACACTAAACCATCTATCCCAATCATGTTTACACCAAACCATTTATCTATCCCAATCATGTTTACACCAAACCATTCATCTATCCCAATCATGTTTACACCAAACCATTTATCTATCCCAATCATTTGTACACTAAACCATTGATCTATCCCAATCATGTGTACACCAATATTGATCACATCACATATCGGGTGCTCCTAGGTCTATTCAAATAGTCTAACACAATATACCAGAAAGTTAGGATGGTCATATCTTGAGCTGAAAACGGGACATCGCCCTAATATTGAACTCTCGGCAAGCGAGTTTAACCCTACCTTTTTATTAAAAGTTTCTAAAACTGAGAAATCTAATAAGGTCTACGGCTATTATAATTTACGTCCTACTTTCGAGCGTATTCCTATTGTTTGTATTAAAAAAAAAGGGGACCATTGCGGAGAGGTGGAATACCGAAGGGACTTTTAACTTACCTAAAACGAGAATATCCCTGGGAAAACAGGACATGTGGTCATCCTACAGATTACCATTTGGTGATTGACTGACTTTCTACCCCACCAGGACATCACACAAGCGATAAACACCCGATGACACAAAGTGCCACCATATGGATGAGGATCGCCGTGGAGAGGTCACAGAAACCGCGTTCAGACATTTGGCCATATTTATGGCCTGCCTATATTGCGGCCCCTGGCAAAAGCCAGGGTGGGGCTTCAAATAACAAAAAATTTCGTCCTAAAAAGGACGAAACTGAATAACGATTTTAGACACATTATTATTATTACCATTTGGTGTGAAATCTTACCTTTTATATAATAACATAAAAACTCACCTAGGGGTCTCAGACTTTTCTCTTGGCCACTTCTCCCGCCTTTTTTACGACCAGACCGCGGCATGTTTAGACTGTTGAAAACTTCTTCCACCAACTTCCTTAGAGCTGACCTGCTAATTGTTTCTTTAATCACGACTCACGAATCAGTTTTTTGAAGGTAATATGCAGTTTAAAATCGCGTACAAGTTCTCTCTGCCATTCACTAGACTAGCTGACCGAGGTACATGCTTCAAGCGCGCGCAGCCTCCTTCTGGCACAATAGGAATAAGAAAACTATTTTGTACTGAGGAGGAATAGGTATTGAAATACCGTGAATTCTTTGTGAGTAAACATCAGTGTCGCAAACTATTCCGTGAGGTGACACTTGTTTCTGAAGTCTTCTCCCTGGATCGAGCTTAGAGCTAGGCTGAAAAATCGTGCAGTTCATTGTCGGTGATTGTGGTCAAGAGGGATAAGTTCAGACCTGCTGTGAATGACGCGTTGAGAAGTTCACACGGAAATAAAAGTTCTCTTGAGGCTGTAGATATAGTATAAACAAACTGACATATATTGATGGACGCATGGGTGCTACAATAGGGTAGCTCAGGCCCTTTCACAACCCCCCTCCTTCCCAAATAATATAAAATGGAATAATTAAATAATTTTTAAGGGGACTAAGAAACCCTCCACCCATCCCCGCTCTCCACCATAAAAATGTTTAGTTGCCTATGACATTTTTTTAAAGGGGGAAAAGGGGGGGGGGGGGAGGTGTTCAGCTACACCGTTTACTTATCTCTTTCTTGGTCCTCCCCTCACACTCCTCCCAGATGTTCTGCTGTTAAAAAGTCTTGGTGAATGTAACGGAAATCTCCGCAAACAGACTTAACCCCGCTCATTTACTCACTAGGTCACTTTACATTCACAAGTTTGTTAGACTGGTCGACTTGCTTAAGGTCACGGGTGTGTCCCGCTCTATGTTTGCTTCCTGCCTTGTCTTCCATTTACGTTTTCATTCCGACACTGAGAATATATGCGACATAGGTTGACGCACTCTCTTAGAGTGTTGTGCTCCGTGTTTTTGGAGCGTTTAAAGCTCTGGCATGCTGAAATATACAACACGCCGTATAAACGCTCTCACGGAAGACACCCGGAACCTTGTGCGCTGGTAACGAGGATGAGGAAGTACCAATCAGAAGTGACCTAGTGGGCCTAACTGTGTTTGGGGAGATTACCGTAATGTTAACCAAAGTCTTATATGCAGTTTGGTCTGGCTGCATTCTCACTAGATGACCGAACCATTTCATACTTTCACCGTCAGTATAATCCAGACATCGTCTTATGCCGAGGCATGCCAAGGTCGTAAACTTATTAGAACAGTTAGATGATGTATGACCACATGGATGGGGGGTCAACAAGAACATTGACTTGATCCGTGATTCTTGTGATCGTGTGAAAGGGGTGAAACATGAGAGCATATGCTAATCGACACGGCACATTATAATTATGGCTCTTTAGCTGCTGATTTCGTGAGTGAGTAATGTAAAGATCCTTTTTTTTACGCCTTAGACATATCGGGCATATGGGAAGAGCATGCCAGATTTTTATAGACCAATCAGCAGTAGGTGGGTCTGCAAGGACGTCTGCTAAGTACTGCTGGCTATGTAGTGGCTGGTTATTTCAGTAGTGAGTTGGTCAGTTCTTGGAACGTGATTTGATTCGCTGATGGGACTGCTGGTGTGGAAGCGTTCACTAGACGTCTAGTTTCCGTCGAGTCTGCTTCTTAGTGTACAGTTCGTCTGAAACTGGAAAATGACTAAACAGATCTACAGACTTTTGTCCTCGCAGACATCGGTATGTTGAGAAATGAACAGGCAGATGGAGTGACTGGTTATACGCCAGTTAATGGTAAAATGATGCATGACAAGCTAGACCTTAAAGGGGTCCTCGAGAGCGAGTAAACATCGCGGAGGCACACAAGGTCATCACGGTCTGAAGAGAATACTGCAGCGAACTGTGACCAGGGGATCTGAACGACGCTCTATACTCAGGGGAGGGGCGAGACGGACAGTGACTAGGGGATATGACCGACGCTCTACACTCAGGGGAGGGGCGAGACGGACATGGACCAGGGGATCTGACTGACGCTCTACACTCAGGGGAGGGACGAGACGGACATGGACCAGGGGATCTGACTGACGCTCTACACTCAGGGGAGGGGCGAGACGGACATGGACCAGGGGATCTGACTGACGCTCTACACTCAGGGTAGGGACGAGACGGACATGGACCAGGGGATCTGAACGAAGCTCTATACTCAGGGGAGGGGCGAGACGGACAGTGACTAGGGGATCTGACCGACGCTCTACACTCAGGGGAGGGGCGAGACGGACATGGACCAGGGGATCTGAACGACGCTCTATACTCAGGGGAGGGGCGAGACGGACAGTGACTAGGGGATATGACCGACGCTCTACACTCAGGGGAGGGGCGAGACGGACATGGACCAGGGGATCTGACTGACGCTCTACACTCAGGGGAGGGACGAGACGGACATGGACCAGGGGATCTGACTGACGCTCTACACTCAGGGGAGGGGCGAGACGGACATGGACCAGGGGATCTGACTGACGCTCTACACTCAGGGGAGGGACGAGACGGACATGGACCAGGGGATCTGAACGAAGCTCTATACTCAGGGGAGGGGCGAGACGGACAGTGACTAGGGGATCTGACCGACGCTCTACACTCAGGGGAGGGGCGAGACGGACATGGACCAGGGGATCTGACTGACGCTCTACACTCAGGGGAGGGACGAGACGGACATGGACCAGGGGATCTGACTGACGCTCTACACTCAGGGGAGGGGCGAGACGGACAGTGACTAGGGG